GGTGGGTAATACCACTGCCGAACGGGACCCATTAAGGTGGTGCGATGGGTATTGCCACTGCTGAACGGGACACATTCAAGTGGTGGGGTAGGTAATGCCACTGCCGAACGGGACCCATTCAAGTGGTGCGGTGGGTAATGCCACTGCCGAACGGGACCCATTAAGGTGGTGCGGTGGGTAATGCCACTGCCGAACGAGACCCATTCAAGTGGTGCGCTGGGTAATGCCACTGCCGAACGGGACCCATTCAAGTGGTGCGCTGGGTAATGCCACTGCCGAACGGGACCCATTCAAGTGGTGCGATGGGTAATGCTACTGCCGAACGGGATCCATTCAAGTGGTGGGGTGGGTAATGCCACTGCCGAACGGGACCCATTAAGGTGGTGCGATGGGTATTGCCACTGCTGAACGGGACACATTCAAGTGGTGGGGTAGGTAATGCCACTGCCGAACGGGACCCATTCAAGTGGTGCGGTGGGTAATGCCACTGCCGAACGGGACCCATTCAAGTGGCGTGGCAGGCGAGGCCACTGCTGAACATGACCTATCAAAGGTAATGTATTCAAGTGGCTCAGTGGGTCATGCCACTGCCAAATAGGACCCATTCAAGTGGTGCGGTGGGTAACGCCACTGCTGAACAGGACCCATTCAAGTGGTGGGGTGGGTAATGCCACTGCCGAACGGGACCCATTAAGGTGGTGCGATGGGTATTGCCACTGCTGAACGGGACACATTCAAGTGGTGGGGTAGGTAATGCCACTGCCGAACGGGACCCATTCAAGTGGTGCGGTGGGTAATGCCACTGCCGAACGGGACCCATTCAAGTGGTGCGGTGGGTAATGCCACTGCCGAACGAGACCCATTCAAGTGGTGCGCTGGGTAATGCCAATGCCGAACGGGACCCATTCAAGTGGTGCGATGGGTAATGCTACTGCCGAACGGGATCCATTCAAGTGGTGGGGTGGGTAATGCCACTGCCGAACGGGACCCATTCAAGTGGTGCAGTGGGTAATGCCACTGCCAAATGGGACCCATTCAAGTGGTGCGCTGGGTAATGCCACTGCCGAATGGGATCCATTTAAGTGGTGCGATGGGTAATGCTACTGTTGAATGGGAATTATTCAAGTGGTGCGGTGGGTAATGCCAATGCCAAACGGGACCCATTCAAGTGTCAAGGTAGATAATGCCACCACCGAACACAACCCATTCAAGTGGTGCAGTGGATAATTCCACCACAGAATGTGACCCATGTAAGTGGTGCAGTGGGTGATACCACCGCAGAATGCAGCCCATTCATGTGGCATGGTGGGTAATAAAACTGCTGAACATGATCTATCCAAGTAGCATGGCAGGTGATGCCACCGCCGATGTGATGTATTCAGGTGGTGCAGTGGGTAACGCCACCAAAAAACGGGGCCCACTCAAGTTGTAACGTAGGTAATACCACTGCTCAATGCGACCCCTTCAAGTGGTACAGCGGGTTGGCATCTTCAGGATTGAAACAGGCCATGAGGAGGTGATGCATTGCTTCCTAAGTTCCTTAACTGTGATCCACTGCAGATCGCTTTTCAGATGGCAAGGGCTGCCGCACATAAGAAGGAGCCCTTAAAATGAAATTTTGTGCCCAGAGTTTAATAAAGTTAATATCAATCACATTACTACCCATCTGTGCTGGGAATGGCACTCCATAAACCTGCTGGAATGCAGGTGCCTGCAGGTTCTAGCAGCGGCCATTTTCCCGAAGACCACACTACAGTGTAGGAGAGGGGACAGGGACATTTCTGCCTCTAGTGACAGGAGTGGAGTGACGTCACTCTCTAGCAAGATGGCGGCGCCCAGAGAGCAGGAATGACACTGAGCTCCTAGCATAGAGGTCCTGAGCTCGGGTGATCGGTGTGTATGGGAGGTCCGTGTGTACATTGTATTGTGTGTGCTGTGTACACAGCCTGCAGGGGGCGGGGATCACACGTGACCTCAGTGTGCAGGCATGACCACGTGTGTTCACATTACTGTGTTGGGCTACTTGTCATTAGCCAGGTTGTGGCTTTCAGCTGGAGATCTGATTGGCCGATGTGGGAGGCTGCTGCAGGTTTTCTATATTATCTCTATGAGGGTGGTGCAGGATTTACCAGTGAGTTCAATCTTTGCTAACCAATACAAAACACAAACCAGACAGCCCTGCACTGTACAATCTGTGTACAATCTCCTTAAAGTAGAACTAGAGGCAAAACCTTTTTCATTTTGTGTAGAGTAAGGGAGGGTTATAACCCCAGTCAGGCTTCTTTTGCCGTATGTGCCCCATTGGGGAGATTTCCCTTCACTTCCTGTCCCATAGCCAAAACAGGAAGTGAGAGGAAATCCCTTCCAAGTGAGGTAAATCCCTGGTTGTCACCAGAACCAGCGTCCCCATGGGAAGATTTCCCCTCTATTCCTGTTCTGGGGATAACCCAAATGTTGAGATCTTTTTTCACTTTTAGTGATCAGGGTAAACAGGGTAGATAGAGAGGGGGAATCTCCCTAGACAGCAATAAACACCTGACAGGAGTTCTAAGCCACCTCCACCCTGTCCAAAACTTTATTTATGCTTCAAGGCTCACCATACACTATACAATGCGATTGTACAATCTCCCTTAGCTCTACCATCAACTATGTAATGCAAGAGCCTGCTTGATTTAAAATGTAACCAAAGACAGAAACTTTTTTTTTTTGTGTGTGTGTGGATAGAGTGGAGAGGGATTGGACTCCCTGTCAGGTGTTTATTGATGTCTGTGTCCCCAACAGGGAGATCCATCCTCTCTATTTGTCATGTTTACTGTTACCACCAAAAGTGAAAGAAAACCCCAAATTTTGGGTTGTCACCAGAACAGAAATAGAGGGGAATCTTCCAATGGGGAAACTAGTATTGGTGACAACCAGGGGTTCCCTCACTTCGGAGGAATTTCCTCTCATTTCCTGTTTGGCTATGGGACAGGAGGTGAAGGGAAATCTCCCCAATGGGTCACAGATGGCAAAAAAAAAAACCTGATAGGTCTTATAACCTTCCCCTACTCTATCCAAAATAAAAAGAAAATGTTTATTGCTGTCTAGGGAGATTCCCCCTCTCTATTTGCTCTGATCACTAAAAGTGAAAAAAAGATCTCAACATTTGGGTTGTCACCACAACAGGAATAGAGGCGAAATCTTCCCATGTGCATGCTGGTTCTAGTGACAACCAGGGATTTCCCTCACTTGGGAGGAATTTCCTCTCACTTCCTGCATTTCCTCTCACTTCCTGTTTTGGCTGTGGGACAGGAGGTGAAGGGAATTCTCCCCAATGGGTCACAGATGGCAAAAAAAACCAAAAACTGATAGGTCTTATAACCTTCCCTTACTGTTTACCTTTTTCCAGATTGGGCTTTTATTTTTTATAATTATTATTATTAATATACAGGATTTATATAGATCCAGCAGTTTGCACAGGACTTTTCAACATGTGGGCAGACAGTACAGTTACAATACAATTGAATACAGGAAAGATCAGAGGGTCCTGCAATTTAGAGCTTACAATCTAAGAGGGAGGGTCAAGAGCAGGGGTGGACTGACAACGCATGGGGCCCCCGGGCAATAGGGGATCATGGGGCCCCTGTGTCCTCGCCCACACCCAAAAAATCCTATGAAAAAGACAATGAAAGGTATCAGGGGTATCTCATGGGGCCCCCTACTGACCCCGGGCCCTCAGGCAGTGCCCGAGTTTCCAAATGGTCAGTCCGCCCCTGGTCAAGAGATACAAAAGGTAATAAGCTGATGGAGAAAAATAAAAGTACATTTGTAAGGTGGAGGCTGGATAGGCTTCTCTGAAGAGGAGGGTTTTCAGGGTTTGTCTAAAAGTGGACAGAGTAGGAGACAGCCAGACAGATTGGGGTAGGGAGTTCCATGGGATGGGAGAGGCTCAATAGAAGTCCTGGAGGTGAACATGGGAGGAGGTGACAAGGGAACAAGAGAGTAGGATGTCTTGGGAGGCCTGAAGAGTGTGATTTGGTTGGAATTTTCAGACTAGGGTAGTGATATCTGGGGGCCGAGTTGTGGATGGCTTTGAAAGTTGTTTTCGTATTTTGAATTGAATTCGTTAGGTGAGCGGAAACCAATACAGGGATTGGCAGAGAGGGGTGGCGGACATGCAATGGTTGGGAAGGTGGATGAGTGTGACAGCAGCAATCATGATGGACTTAAGGGGGATAGCCTGTGTAAAAGTAATCCAATGAGGAGGGAGTTGCAGAAGTCGAGGTGAGAGATAACCAGGGAGTGAACTAGGAGCTTTGTGGTGTCATTGGTTATACCTGACAGTACAGTAAGCATTCAACTTCCAGTGCTGAGACTTGTAGTTCTAGTTTGTCATACTGCAACACTCTGCGGATCACATACACTCCATCTCCTCCATTCATACAACATCTTGTATTTTTTCCACTGAATACAAGGCATATTCTGATTGGAGGAGGGGAGGGGGTGAAATGGCATGATCTCCACCTCATCCATTCACAGATCTTTGTATACTATCTGGACTTTTTAGGTGGATTTCTTTTTGTTTGTAGCATTTTGGCAACTATGAGATGTTTGCAGATCACATAGATGTGTGTAATAATATATTTATATATATATATATATATGGGGTGGCACAGTGGCTTAGTGGTTAGGACTTCCACCTGGCAGTACTAGGGTCATTGGTTCGAATCCCAACCACGGTACCACCTGCCTGGAGTTTGCATGTTCTCCCTGTGCCTGTGTGGGTTTCCTCCGGGTACTCCGGTTTCCTCCCACACTCCAAAGACATGCTGGTAGGTTAATTGTCTCCTGTCTAAATTGGCCCTAGTATGTGTATGTATGAATGTAAGTTAGGGACCTTAGATTGTACGCCCCTTGAGGGTTAGGCACTGATGTGAATGTACAATATATATGTAAAGCGCTACGTAAATTGACGGCACTATATAAGTACCTGAAATTAATAAAAATAAATAAATATTTCCTTGTAGTGCAGAGACTTGTGATCATGAGGACTTTACGTTGGTTGGTGTTGGCTCAGAACCTGCGTGCTTCGGCAAGATGGCTGTCTGGGTAGAACCGTGCAAACCACAGGTGAGCGGACTTCTATAATAAATATTCATGGGGAAAATGAAGAAATATTTCTATGGCTCATCTACCAAACCAATTTTAAATAGAATCCATCACTGTTCCAATTCATGGATCTCAGCAGAGATGTGCAATTCCCTTCGCCTGACGCCCGGGACATGCAATGACAGGCATCGGACAAGAGGATTTTTATTTTTTTTTACATTTAACCCTACTTCATGCAAGCAGTAGGGCTTAGAGCTAATGGTCGGCTCTCTTGTAAAAGCAATCCAAGCGTCTAACTAGCCGCTGGATTGCTGTTACAAGCAGCAGGAAGGGACACCTCCCCCAACTCCACCTTCTGCAGGCTGTCCCGTCCCACCTAGACACTCAATCGACCCCCTCCCTCCCTCATCTGATTGTAGAGGTGGACAAAGAACAGAACTGCGCTGTCCACCTCTGATATAGGAGACAGGAAGTGATGAGCATACATCACTTCCGGTTTCCCCGGATGTAAACGGCGCCATTTTTTAAAAAATGGAAAGCATTTGATCACACTAATCTTGATGTGATCAGATGCTTTTAAGGGCAGAGGAGGGATATTGGGTCTAATAGACCCCCCAACTCTCCATAAAGAGTACCTGTCACTGCCTATTGCTGTCACAAGGGATGTTTACTTTCCTTGTGACAGCAATAAAATTTATTAAAAAAAAAATAGTGACAGTGTACAAATAAAAATAAAATAAATAATACTTAAAAAAAGAGAAAAATGAAAGTACTCCGACCCCCCCCCCCCGTGCTTGCACGCAAAGGTAAACGCAAGCGTTGGTGCCGTATGCACACAAAACAGCGATCATCCCACACGTGAGGTTTCACTGTGAACTTCAGATCATGGGCAGTAATTCTAGCACCAGACCTCTTCTTTACATCTAAAGGGGTAACCTGGAAAGGCTTTTAAAGCGTTGCCTAAGGATAGTCACATTTTTGTCGTTTGTTACTGTTGCATGGGTGTGGGCAATTTTAAAGCCTGACATGTTTGGTATCTATTTACTCAGTGTAACATCATCTTTTATATTTTAAAAAAAAAAATTGGGTTATATAATATTTTTTTTGCATTAAAATGAAAAAAAAAAACATTGTGTTAAAAAAAACACCCATAAATAATAATATAAAAAAATGAAATAAAAAAAAAAAATTGTAAATAATTATTTTTGGTTGTAAACTAATGTGGGTTTTTTTTTACTAAAAACATAGCTGAATACATTTTGGCCAAGATTTATAAAGAAAGATTCTTTGCAAAATTGTATAAGAAAAACACTTTTTTTTCAAAATGTTTGGACTTTTACATTTATATAGCAAAAAAATAAAAATCCCAGTGGTGAATAAATACCACCAAAATAAAGTTTTATCTGTCTCAAAAAATAGCTAAAAAATTCATATGGGTACAGTGTTGCATGCATGACCGTGCAATTGTCATTCAAATGTGATAGCGCTGAAAGCTGAAAATTGGCCTGGACAGGAATGGTGGTGAATGTGTCCGGACTTGAAGTGGTTAAATGATTACTTGTAAAAGTAACCCAGGGCGGCACAGTGGCTTAGTGGTTAGCACGTCTGCCTTGCAGTAAATGGGTCATGGGTTCGATTCCCGACCATGGTGCCTCCTGCATGGAGTTTGCATGTTGTCCCTAGTATGTGTATGTATGAATGTGAGTTAGGGACCTTAGATTGTACACCCCTTGAGGGTTAGGGACTGATGGGAATGTACAATATATATGTAAAGTGCTGCGTAAATTGACGGCACTATATAAGTACCTGAAATAAATAAATGGTAAAAAAAACAGGTGGGCGGGGCAAACAGAGGGGGAGTTGCCAGGGATGAGTTTCCTCGGGTGCATTGAACGCTGGGACTTAAAGCAGAGGATAGTCCTTCCTGTTTATTTGTTTTTTCCACAGGAGTCTGGGTGACGGTTAATGATGATGAGCGTTTCTGGCTTTAGAGATGACATTCCTCAGCTGCTGTGGCTTGGGAAGAAGCTAATCAAGTACGATCTGTGCTTGATTAGCTGCTGTGGAGGTCAGAAGAGACATTAGGGGACTCAGAGACCCCTGATATCTCCATAAAGAGGACCTGTCACCTACCCAGTGCAATCAAATACGGGGATTCTTAGCCCCCTAATGATAGCAATATAAGTAAATGAAAAAAAAAAAAAAGTCTAACAAAATTACAAATCTAATAAAATTAAAAGCAGAACCATGGCGCTGTGCATGTCGCAAATTCAAACTGACAAAAAACTGACCCCTGATATCTCCATAAAGAGGACCTGTCACCTACCCAGTGCTATCAGATACAGGGATTCTTAGCCCCCTAATGATAGCAATTTAAGTAAATAAAAAAAGGCTAACAAAATTACAAATCTAATAATAAAAGCAGAACCATGGCGCTGTGCATGTTGCAAATTCAAACTGACAAAAATTGGAGCGAGGGCGGTAATTCTAAGGCCATTTATGGTTTGCTCTTAGATTGTAAGCTGTAATGGGCAGGGCCCTCTGCTTCCTACTGTATTCAATTGTATTGTAATTGTACTGTCTGCCCTCGTGTTGTAAAGTGCTGAGTAAACTGTTGGCGCCATATAAATCCTGTATAATAATAATAATAATGCTCTAAATTGATAAGCCGTACGGGCACAAGCAGTTTTGGTGTTATTTATTCTACACTACCTCATATATTACTTTGTACAAAAATGGGGATTAAATTGTGTTTTGTATGCAATAAAGTTCATTTAACTGTATTTTTTTCCCCTAAAATATGGATTTGATAAACCGTTGTGCAAATATTGTGCAACATTAAAAATGCTGTAGAGCAGAAATAAATAAATGTGTTCTGTATCACATCCTGCAGGTAAAACTTTTGCGTATGGTCCACTCATCATCCACACCTGCCCCGCCTAAAGAGGATGATACACCTAAAGCACTAACACCTTTTGAGGAGCAGTTTTTCCAAACAACAGAGGGACAAGGCCTCGTTTGTGCAAGTGCTGGATTTGTTTTGTGGCCGGGATGTCCGGAGGAGAGGACATGTAGAGATGATTGAGGCGGCTCTTAAATGGATGCCTGAATTTGGACTGGAGAAAGATCTGCAGGTTTACAACAAAATCCTTGATGTGTTCCCCAAAGAGATTTTTGTTCCCCGAAACGTCATCCAAACAATGTTCAACCATTATCCCCGGCAGCAAGAGTGCGCCGTCAAGTTGTTGGAACAGATGGAGACATACGGTAAAATGTTGTGTTCACAGTTTTCATTATGATGCCCAGAGTGACAAAGACAGGGGCCTGTCCCTCCCATCACAGGGTGACACAGACATGGGCCTGTCCTCCCATCACAGGGTGACACAGACATGGGCCTGTCCCTCCCATCACAGGGTGACACGGACATGGGCCTGTCCCTCCCATCACAGGGTGACACGGACAGGGGCCTGTCCTCCCATCACAGGGTGACACAGACATGGGCCTGTCCCTCCCATCACAGGGTGACACGGACATGGGCCTGTCCCTCCCATCACAGGGTGACACGGACAGGGGCCTGTCCCTCCCATCACAGGGTGACACGGACATGGGCCTGTCCCTCCCATCACAGGGTGACACGGACATGGGCCTGTCCCTCCCATCACAGGGTGACACAGACAGAGTCCTGTCCCTCCCATCACAGGGTGACACAGACAGAGTCCTGTCCCTCCCATCACAGGGTGACACAGACGGGCCTGTCCCTCCCATCACAGGGCGACACAGACAGGGGCCTGTCCCTCCCATCACAGGGCGACACAGACAGGGCCCTGTCCCTCCCATCACAGGGCGACACAGACAGGGGCCTGTCCCTCCCATCACAGGGCGACACGGACAGGGGCCTGTCCCTCCCATCACAGGGCGACACGGACAGGGGCCTGTCCCTCCCATCACAGGGCGACACGGACAGGGGCCTGTCCCTCCCATCACAGGGTGACACAGACGGGCCTGTCCCTCCCATCACAGGGTGACACGGACAGGGGCCTGTCCCTCCCATCACAGGGTGACACGGACAGGGGCCTGTCCCTCCCATCACAGGGTGACACGGACAGGGGCCTGTCCCTCCCATCACAGGGTGACACGGACAGGGGCCTGTCCCTCCCATCACAGGGTGACACGGACAGGGGCCTGTCCCTCCCATCACAGGGTGACACGGACAGGGGCCTGTCCCTCCCACCACAGGGTGACACCACCCAGGAGGAGTTATGTAACATGCTGTCTGCTCCTTCCACCAGAAGGTTACACAGACAGGAGGGGCTGTATGATATGGAGTTGTCCCTCCCACCATAGGGTGACACAGACAGTGGTAGCTATCTTATGTTCGGTCTGTCACTCCCACCATAGGGTGACACAGAGAGGAGTTGCTATATGATATGGAGTCTGACATGGTGACCTCACCCAGGAGGAACTGTGACATGGAGTTAGCACCTCCTGTCTGTGTCACCCTGTTGTTGTGGAAGGGGAGATAACATGCAGGTTGTCCTTCCCACCACAGTGTGGCACAGACAGTAGAAGTTACATGATATGGAGTTATGCAGAACGGAGTATGTACCACCCACCACAGGGTGACACCACCCAGGAGGAGTTATGTGACATGCTGTCTGTCCCTTCCACCACAGGGTGACACAGACAGAAGGAGCTGTATGATATGGAGTTGTCCCTCCCACCATAGGGTGACACAGACAGTGGTAGCGATCTGATGTTGGGTCTGTCACTCCCACCATAGGGTGACACAGACAGTGGTAGCGATCTGATGTTGGGTTTGTCACTCCCACCATAGGGTGACACAGACAGTGGTAGCGATCTGATGTTGGGTTTGTCACTCCCACCATAGGGTGACACAGACAGTGGTAGCGATCTGATGTTGGGTTTGTCACTCCCACCATAGGGTGACACAGACAGTGGTAGCGATCTGATGTTGGGTTTGTCACTCCCACCATAGGGTGACAAAGAAAGGAGTTGCTATATGATATGGAGTCTGACATGGTGACATCACCCAGGAGGAACTGTGACATGGAGTTAGCTCCTCCTGTGTCACCCTATGGTGTAAGGGGAGATAACATGTAGGTTGTCCTTCCCACACAGGATGACACAGACAAGGAGGAGCTATGTGACATGCATTTCATTTCATGGGACATTTCATCTGGCTTACCAAGCTCTCTCTTCCTCTAGGCGTTACCCCTGACAAGAACACACCAGTTTCCTGCTAATACAAATATTTGGGAAACTTAGCCATCCTGTGAAGAAGTACCGGAGGATAATGTACTGGTTCCCTCGGTTCAAGCACACCAACCCTTACCCAGTTCCAGCTGGTATTGAGGCCGACCCCGTCTCTATGTCAAAACATTGCCTGGAACGCATAGCAGCCGACAAGTGCGCCAAAATCACAGTGTACCAGGTGAGGGGAGCTTATTTCCAGAGCCGCCATCCGCCACTCTTCTTCTTGTAGTTCCTTTCCCAGCATTTCTGCCTGTGTACATCCCTCATAGACCTGATAACTAATGTTCTGTGCAAGGGCATCTGGTGGCTGCACTCTACACGAATCGTACGTACATACAAGATCTTCTGTTCACAGAAATATTTCCCATCTTATTTTAAGTTGCACTGGATATAACTAATGTGACGGGAGTCACTTTGGGTGGGGGGCCCATGCAACCCAGCTCACTTTGGAGAGGTGAGGAGACCCCTGTCTCAGCTTCCCATATCCCCATTATGTGTAAGTCACCCTGTGCCTGTTAGGGGTACAGGGTGATGTGTCCTAATATTGAGGTGGGGGGTTGTTTATTGTTTAATGCCATGTGGTTGCATCCCATTGTTCTATTGTGTATCTTGCTTGGGAGCAAACAATTATGGGATGTATGTATTTGTGTATTGGCTTGGTGGGGGGTGTTTCCAGCAGCCCTCCCTCCTGATGGGACTGTCTGTTGGTTCTGTCTCTTGTTACTAAAGGTAGATTGCCCCACCCTGTGTCATTATGCAGGGAAGGGGGGTTGTTCCATTGAATTTATATATCTTGTATCTGTGTTAAAATAAAGTAGTCTAATTCCTAGTTTACTTCAAGACTGATGTCATCTAGTCTTGTGTGGTGTCTGTGGTCGGTGTTTGGACAGGGAAGCGGTATCCTAACGGAAGTACCCAAGTGCAGACTGGGCCGGTTTCGTTACAACTAACATTTAATCCTTATCATATCACATCACGACTTGACTACTGCAACTCCTTCCTCACCGGCTTACCCCAACACAGGCTATCCCCGCTTCAGTCTATCCTGAATTCTGCGGCCAGACTCATCCACCTTACCAACCGCTCCGTATCCGCCACCCCCCCCTCAGGCAATCGGAAGCCAGTGGAGGGATTGGCAAACGCATAAAATTCAAAATATTAACATTGACGTACAAAGCTGTTCATAATATTGCCCCAAACTACATCACTCATCTGGTATCAAATACCACCCAAAACGCACTCTCCGCTCTTCACAAGACGTCCTACTCTCCAGTTCCCTGGTCTCCTCCTCCCATGCCCATCTCCAGGACTTCTCCAGGGCTTCCTCCATCCTCTGGGACTCACTACCCCAATCCATCAGACTGTCACCTACCCTGCTCACCTTTAGGCGCACCCTGAAAACCCATCTCTTTAGAGAAGCCTACCCTGCGCTCACCTAATTGCTAAACTCCTCCACTCTTCCTACCACTCCATCCCCCACAGCTACTTCCTCCTGCACAACTATCCCCTCCCTCCTAGATTGTAAGCTCCAAGGAGCAGGGCCCTCGAACCCCTCGTGTATTGTACTGTATTGTTGCTGTATTGTCTCCCACTATAATGTACAGTGCTGAGCAAACTGTTGGCGCTATATAAATACTGTATAATAATAATAGTAATCCTTGAAATGAATTTTGGTAATGTCCTGCTCACTGGCTGAAATGTATATTCTGTCTGTTGGTGTGCCAGCATTTGTTGATACAGCTATTAGGATTCAACCAATCATATCAACAGCACGACCAGCTTTGAGCTGTCATGAAAATGGGCAGTCTGCAATGTTTCTTATGACCATGGAACGTGTGTGGTTTTGTTTGCAGATGTTCAGCATATTTCTTGTATATGTATATTGATCTTGGTTTATGATGTCCTTACAGCTGCCATCAACAGAACAGTGTGACGATGGGACAGTTAAAGAGCACACGCATCTTGTGGGTACGTACCTGTGTTTCGTAAACCCATGTTAATGAATACTGGAATACACTGTTCTCTGTCTGGATGGATGGACAGGTTAACCAATTGCCTACCTTACACTTATACCTCCTTCCTGCCCAGGCCAATTTTTATCTTTCAGCGCTGTCACACTATGAATGATAATTGCGCAGTCATGCAACATTGTACCCATATGAAATTTTTATCCTTTTTTTTCACACAAATAGAGCTTTCTTTAGGTGGTATTTAATTGCCACTGGGGTTTGTATATTTTTTAAGCTATAAAAAAAAAAAAAAAAGAGCAAACAATTGATGTGCGTTGATGAGGCTGCACTGAAAGGCAGCATTGATGGGCACGGATAGGCAGCGCTGATCAGCTGGCACTGATGATGCAGCAATGATGAGCACTGATAGGCGGCACCGATAGGCACTCTAAAGAGTGGCACTGCTGGAAACTGATGTGTGGCAGTTCTGGGCACAGGTTGGCAGCACTGCTAGGCACTGATGGGCACGGGTGGGTGGCACTTGTGGGTGGCTTTGGTGGTTGACACTGCTGGGCACTGATCATCAGTGCCCTGATGATCAGTGGTGATCTGTTCTCTAACAATTGCCAGTTATTGGCAGTACTTTCACAGCGTGAGGAAAGTGCAGCCGATAACCAGCAACTGCATTTACCCAGTGATCTGCTATGTCATTGGACACAGCTGATTACGTGGTAAAAGGCCACTGTGATTGGCCTTTTACAGCATCACGTGATCAACTGTGTCCGTAGGACACAGCAATCATGGAGATTGTCGGGGGCACACCGCTGGGGGTGCACAGGAGGGCACGTTCTGGGAAGACGTCATATGACGCCCTCCCAGAACTGGACAACCGCGCTGTAGCCGTCATGCAGCTATAGCGCGGTTGGCAAATGGTTAAAGAGCAAGGGATGGGAGAAATTAGAGAGGTGAAAAGACGAGATATTGAGATAGAGTAGACCGAGAGATGGAGAGTTCATTTAGAGGAGAGATTAGCAAAATAGGGAGGGAAGATCAGACAGATTTGGAGAGATTAGATATAGAGGTAGGGAGATTAGTTTAAATACAGAGTTGGGAAGATTATAGATAGGTGGGAGAGATTATATAGAGAGAGGTGGGGGAGATTATATAGAGAAGTAATGGGGGAGATTATATATAGAGAGGTGGGGGAGATTAGATTTAGAGAGAGGTAGTGGGGGAGATTATATATAGAGAGAGAGGTGGGGGAGATTATATAGAGAAGTAATGGGGGAGATTATATATAGAAAGAGGTGGGGGAGATTATATATATAGAGAGAGGTGGGGGAGATTATATATATATAGAGAGAGAGAGAGGTGGGGGAGATTATATATATAGAGAGAGAGAGAGAGAGAGAGAGAGAGAGAGAGAGAGGTGGGGGAGATTAGAGAGAGAGAGGGGGGGTGGGGAGATTATATATAGAGAGAGAGAGAGGTGGGGGAGATTAGAGAGAGAGAGGGGGGGGGGAGATTAGAGAGAGAGAGGGGGGGGGGATTATATATATATATATATATATATATATATATATAGAGAGAGAGAGAGAGAGAGAGTGGGGAGATTACATATAGAGAGGTGGGGGAGATTACATATAGAGAGGTGGGGGAGATTATATATATAGAGAGGTGGGGGAGATTATATATAGAGAGGTGGGGGAGGTTACATATAGAGAGGTGGGGGAGGTTACATATAGAGAGGTGGGGGAGGTTACATATAGAGAGGTGGGGGAGGTTACATATAGAGAGGTGGGGGAGGTTACATATAGAGAGGTGGGGGAGGTTACATATAGAGAGGTGGGGAAGATTATATAGAGAGAGGTAATGGGGGAGATTAACGTATATCAATAGTAACAAATGGGGGAGATTATATATAGAGAGGGCGGGGGAGATTATATATAGAGAGGTGGAGGAGATTATATATAGAGAGGCGGGGGAGATTACATATAGAGAGGTAAAGAATTAATAGTTAATGGCTCTGTATGGACCCCTTTCTCTGTCCTGATCCGCGGCCATGCACCATACACAGATGATAAAAGCTCCTGGTGGTATTCTTACCTGTTCTGCAGAAACATCTGCCCTGGTCTCACTCTGGGTCTTGCTCTTATTTCTGCATGTGATCTTAGTCAAAGGTGGGAGCAGATTTCCTGGCCCTGACTGCCTGGCTCTGCCCCCTTTTCATGTCTTGTGCTGGAAGACTTCCTGTGAATATGTTTGCTGAGAGCTCCACTGGTCCTTGGAAAACAATACAGAGCCATATAGAACAGCAAGTTAAGGGACCTTATTTGAGATTGTGATCATATCAGATAGTATGGTCACACTGCCTTCATTTATATCTTTACATTGATATCCTCACTAATAAGCTGGTGGATGAGCATGACAGAGCCAGGGAATATGTATCTTCATAGGTTAGCAATGGCAGCTATCATACTTCCCCAGTACAAGTCAGGGCCAGATCTTGCCTGTCTGATTTGGGGGTGCAGTAAAAATGTCAGGGGGGCAGGGGATGCAAGGTCAGCAGGGCAGTGTATAAAACTCAGTAGAGCAGTGTACAGGGGGTCGGCAGTATGTAGGGCAGTGTACAGGGGGTCGGCAGTATGTAGGGCAGTGTACAGGGGGTCGGCAGTATGTAGGGCAGTGTACAGGGGGTCGGCAGTATGTAGGGCAGTGTACAGGGGGTCGGCAGTATGTAGGGCAGTGTACAGGGGGTCGGCAGTATGTAGGGCAGTGTATAGCGGTTAGCATGGCAGAGGACAGGGGTCAGCAGTGCAGAGGACAGGGGTTAGCAGAGCAGGGTACAGGAGTCAGCAGAGTTGAAAACCTGGGCACTTTTGGCAGGGCATGTAAGAGATCTCCTCCTCCCCACACAGCACATAGCTGAGATCAGTATCTCTCCACACAGTGTGTAGCTGGCTACTGCACCTGCCAAGCCAATCAGGGAATTTCACAGGTCAGAACAGCAATTGCAGCTAGCTACACATTATGCAGATTGATGCTGTGAGGAATCTGATCTCAGCTATGTGTTATGTAGGGAGGAAAAGATCTGTTGAGTGCCTTGTGTGCAGTGCGGACAGAGCCGGGACAAGGTCATCCGGCGCTCAAGGTGAGGGTGACAAATCGCACCCCCCCCCCAAAAAAAAAAAAAAAAACAGCACTAACCAACATGGTCACCTCATAAGCATAGATTCCTTCTAGGAAGCCCGATTTCTACCCAAACAAAAAATGAAAACATTCTCCATCCTCACATTTCAAACCCCCCTTCCAGCACAAATCTTTGCCCCCACATACAACCTTCCAGCTCAAATTCCCCCAATCCCTAACAAATCTTCCATGCCTCAAAAATAATCCCTCCTAGCATACATCCTCTTTCCTTCCAAATCCCCCCTCCTTGTACAAACCCTCTCCCCCAAAATCCTCCCTCCTATTACTAATTCTCCCCCTCAAATCCCCCTCTTCCTTGTACAAACCCTCCCTCCTAGTAATAATTCTCCCCTCAAATCCCCCCTCGTTGTACAAGCCCTCTCCCCCAAATCCCCACTCCTAGTAATAATTCTCTCCCCAATCCCCCCCAGTACAAATTCCCACTCCTAGTACAAACCCTCTCCCCCAAATCCCCCCTCCTAGTATTAATTCTCCCTTCAAATCCCCCCTCCTAGTACTAATTCTCCCCTCAAATCCCCCCCTCCTTGTACAAAACCTTTCCCCCAAATCCCCACTTCTAGTAATAATTCTCTCCCCAATCCCCCCAGTACAAATCCCCACTCCTAGTACAAACCCTTTCCGCTAAATCCCCCCTCCTAGTATTAATTTTCCCTTCAAATCCCCACTCCTAGTACTAATTCTCTCCCCCCCCCCCCCCCCCCCCCCCCCCCCCCACTCCCAATACAAATCCCCACTCCTAGCTTAAATCCTTTACCATATTCCCCCTTCTAGTAAAAATCCTAAAAGTCCCACCCATCCCCCCTCCTAGCACAAATCCTCTCTCCAAATCCCCACTCCTAGCATAAATCCTCTCCCCAAATTCCCCTCCTAGTACAAATTCTCTCCTAAAATCACCCCTCCTAATACAAATTCCCCCCATTTCTAGCACAAACCCTCTCCCTCAAATCCCTGCTCCTAGCGTAAATCCTCTCCTCAAATCTCTTCTCCTCAAATCTCCCCTCCTAGTACAAATACTCCTAAATCCCCCCTCCTAGCGCAAATATTCCCCAGAATACAAATCCTCCCCCCAAATACCTCCTACTAGTACAAATCCTCCCCCCCAAAAATCCCTCCTACTAGTACAAATCCTCCCCCCAAATACCTCCTACTAGTACAAATCCTCCCCCCAAATACCTCCTACTAGTACAAATCCTCCCCCCAAATCCCTCCTACTAGTACAAATTCTTCCCCCTCTCCCCAATATTTACTCCTCCTAGCACAACGGCCTACAAATTACCCTTCCCAGCGCAAATCCCTGCATACCCAAATCACCTTAGTAGCACATATCACCACCAATTCCCCCCTCCTAGCACAAATCTTCTCCAATCCTGCCTCCTAACACAACCCCCCCCCTCCCCTAATTACCCTTCCCAGCACAAATAGCCCCCCCCACCCCTCCTCCACGAGCTGCCCCTCCTTCCAATCTTACATGAGGGAACAACATGAGTAGTGAGGGGATGCAGGCTCTCTGTGATCTCCCCTCCTGTCATAACAGCGATCCTCCGTACAGCAGGTTATATAGGATCTCTATTATATCTGATGGTACGCAGCTTCATTACCTGCCCCCATCTCCTGCAAAGAGTGCTCAACTCTTGGAAATGTGGATGGGGGCAGCTAATGAAGCTGCGTACCGTCAGATGTAATAGAGATCCTATATAACCTGCTGTACGGAGGATCGCTGTCATGACAGGAGGGGGAGATCACAGAGAGCTCACATCTCCTCCCCGCTCTCTCCTCTCTGCCGCTCCTGTCTGGACTGATTACTTTAGATGCAGCCGGCCATGATTGCAGGGATGGGGGGGAAGTGGGCAGCACAATTGCTAAATGGTTAGCACCTCCGCCTGGCAGTACTAGGGTCGTTGGTTTGAATCCCAGCCCCGGCATCTTTTGCCTGCAGTTTGCATGTTCTCCCTCTGCCTGCGTGGATTTCCTCCGGGTACTCCAGTTTCCTCCCACACTCCAAAGACATGCTGGTAGGTTAATTGGATCCTTAATAAATTGGCCCTTGTATATGAATGTGAGTTAGGGACCTTAGATTGTACACCCCTTGAGGGTTAGGGACTGATGTGAATGTACAATATATATGTAAAGCGCTGTGTAAATTGACGGCGCTATATAAGTACCTTAAATAAATAAATAAATAAAGCTCAAAGTACATGGCACGGCACAAAGTACATAGCAGGAGAGGGCACCCAGCCTGGGGGGGCACAGCCCACCACAGCACCCCCCTAGATCCGACCATGGTACAGGTACTTTTCAAAAGGTGTGCTCGCCTGCATGGATGTCAGTGTCGGAACATACTATATATGCAGGTCTGGCTGCCCTTTTCGGTCTATGGCCAGGTTTACAGACCTCTAACAAACAGGTCTGTGTGCTGATGTCACCTTGTGGAAGGGAGAGTAAAATGCCAAGAAAGTTTTCATTGCGATTTGTGACCTTCTTACAGGTATCCAGTCACCGGAACAGAAGGAGCTTCTAGAGAACCATGATCGCAATTACCCTGTCCTGGTTGAAGGTCCATTTACTTTATGGCTGAAGAAGACCTGCACATATTATTACATCTTACGTGCTGAGCCCAATGCTAATAAATGGGAGGTGAGCGAGTACTTCTGTTTTATGTCAGCTGTAGGCACTCCAGTTTCTGCAGAACTACAAGTTCCAGCATGCTGATTTTAAAGTTTCTGTAATCTGGAGGGCTTTACTAACTCTGATCTGTGCCGTTTGCACTACTAGACTTCAATACTTGGGCTGGATGAGCACTTAAGGAGTAGTTGTGTGTAAACAATACGCTGCTAAACTCTTGTCTTGAAAATGCTAGTTCCATGGCTGTCATGCTGATTCACTGGCTGCAGTATTTTCTATGATCATGTGACCAGCCGTGACGTGACGGCGGCCACATGACACTAAGCCCCGCCCCGTCCTGCCCACCTCCCGGCGCAGGAACTCCTCTTCACACCGGGACGATCCGGCGTCAAGGGGTTAAAAAAAAAAAATGGCTGGAACCTGAAGTGACATCGCTCCGGTCCCCCAAGGGCATAGAGATGTGTGGTGGCCATCTTTCCTTCTCTCATCTCTATGCCCAGCGCCGGGATCGATGGTTTCTCAGGTAAGGCTGAACTACCAAGCGGCAGACGGGCAGCGAGGGGCGGGGTTTATTTGGCACCTGTATTGGTGCTTTTTTTCATTTCGGCCGACAACCGAAAGGGGTGTTTTTCGGCTGAAACGTTTTGGCCACCGACATTTTGGTGCATCCCTAGTATTTTCTGAGTGATTGACCTGGAGCTAGCATGCAAATATTTACCAGAGAGTTTACTTACAGCACGCTTGTGCAGAGTCAATGACTCAGAAAGGGCTACTGGGATTTCCTTGAGCAGGTCAACAATGAAAGCTTCTGTGCTTCTCCCACTGCAAATTTCCATTAGGACCCATTCACATGCTAAAACATGCTTTGCCACAGTGCATGCCAATGCACCTGCTTTGTGTGTTGAGGTGCCATTCATTGTAAATGATACCCCAACACACTGTACGGCAAAGCGCACCACAACCAATGGCGTATTTGCCACGAGGCAAACAAGGCTTTTGCCTAGGGCGGCACCGCGCCTTGGAAGAAGGGACGCCCGTGATGTCACTAAAACAGAAGAATGCAGTGAGGAATAGGAGTATCAGGCCTCCCCTGGACACTGCCGTCCTCCTGGATCATCTCTCAGTCCTGGCTCCCCACCACCATCCACTGCGGGGAGCTCCGACCCTCAGTGCAGCCTACAGCCTGGCCGGGCGCACTGCATGCTGGGAGTTGTAGTCCTTCCCCCGCCTCCGACCTGCCACCTCCACAAGAGCGAACTACAATCCCGGCAGGGTGTGCGGGGGAAGGACTACAACTCCCAGCATGCAGTGCGCCTGGCCAGGCTGTAGGCTGCTCTGATGGTCGGAGCTCCCCGCAGTGGATGGGGGTGAGGAGCCAGGGCTGAGTGATGATCCCTGGAGGACGGCAGTGTCCAGCTGAGGCAGGGATCTCTGTCACAGAGAGGGAAGGGAAATGCGGCTGTGAGGAGGATACGTACTGGCAGTATATGGCTCCCCCCCTCGGTCTCCACCCCTCCACCAGGCCTGGTGAGTGATCTCCATCCTGCTACTCTGTATACCATGTATACTATTGTGGGGGGGGGGCGGAGAGCTGACAGAGACTGCCAGGTGACTGACTCATACCACTAACTGACACCTTCACACCACTCATACCACTAACTGACACCATCTTGCCGCTCATAACACTAACTGACACCTTCACACCACTCATACCACTAACTGACACCTTCACACCACTCATACCACTAACTGACACCGTCTCGCCGCTCATACCACTAACTGACACCTTCTGCTCGCTCATACCACTAACTGACACCTTCTGCTCGCTCATACCACTAACTGACACCTTCTGCTCGTTCATACCACTAACTGACACCTTCACACCACTCATACCACTAACTGACACCTTCACACCACTCATACCACTAACTGACACCTTCACACCACTCATACCACTAACTGACACCTTCACACCACTCATACCACTAACTGACACCGTCTCACCGACCACTAAGTTCCGCCCAGCAAACGTTGGTGCATTGGGGGGGGCGGTGATATTTGTGTTGCCTAGGGCAGAACAAAACATTAAATACACCCCTGACCACAACATACTGTGCAGTAGGACACGACGAGCATACAGTGCATCGTGACACAAGGGGCATGCATTCTTTGTGCATTGTGAAGCATTGGCAGCCCATTCATAATGATCTCCTTTTTTGCAAAAAAAGAAAGAAAGAAAAAACTGATTGTGTATTCATTTAATAAAAATGTGCATTTAATGAATGAATTGATTAATTTTATTTTAATTTATGTTTTAATTAATCAATTAATTTATTTATTTTATTGGAGCCTGGAAAGCTTTGCAACTCCAATGAGTGGATAGCGGGTGCAATGCTCTAGTTCCTGCAGACTGTTCCCAAAGCTGCTGGTCTGTACCAAGGGATGGACCTTTGGTTACAGGGCTGGAGGAAGTACCAATGGACTACAGTGACATCACCGCACTTGTGCTCCATTGAGAGCTACAAGTCTCTCTGCCATAGTGGTAGATGGGACTCGTGTTTTGTTTTTCATTCACAGTAAATGAATGATGCAGCCGTATGGGCGGAGCCACACCAATAATACATTTGACAGGAGCCGTCAGGAAGACACACCCCTGACTGCTGTAAGGGTAAGGTGGTTTGAGGGGCTGCAGATTGGGATTGTGGTTTATGTTACATTTCAGATATGGGCATGACATGGAACATGCTAATAAAGGTGGATGTAGCCTGTAGCCTACCTAGCGGTCTGATTATGTCCATATTTCTGTGCTCAAAGCGGTACATTTTTTTGCATGGAAATATGTTTTTTTTGTTTATTGTAGGCCTGTAATTCTTAGGAATAACTCACTGAAATCTGTCTGAACAAGAGTCTAGTAAACATCCCGGGTATGATAAAATTTGAAACACGAAATCATAAATTATAATTTAATAAATAATCGTAAAAAATAATATTATAATAATAAATTTAATTCAATAATATAATCAAACCAAAAACACTGAAATTTGAAATATAGCGCCAAGTTCGCACATCACTGAGCAAAGTCGCAAAATTGTTTTCAGTGTCTGATGACGAATTTACCCAACCAATCATTATCACTCAATTCTGCAAGTGGTTCTGATTTACTATCGCTGTTCTCTAGCCGGTCTAAAACCGCTTTTGACCTAAAGGGACGCTTTTTGGACGCCATGGACGTTTCTCAGTTTCCAGGCAGAAAGAACAGTAAAAATGCAGGCAGGGCGCAGGACAAAGCACTCGGGACAAAATGTATGTGAAATGGTTTGATACAGTAATGTTATACTATGTGATTTTAGTGTATTTAGTGAATGTCAAATTTCAAATTTCCTGCCAGTTCTGTCCCCGTACGTCCCGACGTCGCAGGGAACGGAACCCGGAAGACAGATGCCGGCATCGGCCGGAGGACATTACAGGGGACACTGCAGGAGGGACATCGCGGGAGCGCAGGACAAGGTAAGTGAAGAAGAAATCCCGGAGCAGCGCTGCAGTGTATTCCTGAGTGTAGCTCGGGGTTACCGCTTGTGGTACTGAAACTTTACCCCGAGCTACACTCAGGAATACCGCCAGGGGGGTTAACAGGCCCTGAAAGTGACTTAAAAATAACATTCACACAGTGTACTATATTTCTCTTCCTGAATATTACAGATTTATAGATTCTCTGTAGGCTATGTACAGTTCTCTGCAGTCTCCCAGCTTGTAAAGTGATTGGTGTTCTGATGTTCATTTCAGGAAACAGTAGACCCTGAAAGGAGTTTATATTACCCAATCGAATTGGACCTGGACCTGGATCGAGATCTCTCTGATACTTACACCTTTGATGTGGATAAAGGTAAGGTGTTTGTTGACTTGATGGTGCACATGTATACTTAACCACTTGAGCTCCGGAAGATTTTACCCCCTTCATGTTCATGACCAGGCCCTTTTTTTGCTATTCGGCACTTCATTACTTTTTTTTTTTTTTTTTTTTTTTTAACAATTGTGCTGTCGTGCAACGCTGTACCCAAATGAAATTTATAAAATATTTTTTCACACACAGAGAGCTTTGTTTTGGTGGTATTTGATCACCGCTGGGATTTTTATTTTTTTGCTATATAAATGAAAAAGTCCAAACATTTTGAAATAAAAGTGTTTTTCTTATACAATTTTGCAAATATATAATCTTTCTTTTTTGTTTTTTGCACTATAAACAAAAAAAGACTGAACAATTTGAGGGGAAAGAAAAACAATATTTTTTACTTTATGCTATAAAACATATCCAATAAAAAAAATTGAAAAAAATCTAATTTCTTCATAAATTTTGGCCAAAATGTATTCTGCTACGTTTTTGATAACGAAAAAAATCCCAATAAGTGTATATTGATTGGTTTGTGTGAAAGTTATAGAGCCTACAAACTATGGTATAGATACTGCAATTTTGATTTCTTAATTTTTTTTTTATACTTTTTGATACTGCGGCTGGCAATCTGACACTAACGGACGCTGGGGGTAACTGACTGACACTGAAATCACCAGTGACCAGGGGCAGACTGACAACTCATGGGGCCCCCGGGCAATAGGGGATCATGGGGCCCCTGTGTCCTTGCCAAACTCAAAAAAGCCTATGAAAAAGGTACCAGGGGCATCTCATGGGGCCCCCTACCAGGGGCAAACTGACAACTCATGGGGCCTCCGGACAATAGGGGATCATGAGGCCCCTGTGTCCTTTCCAAACTAAAAAAACCATGAAAAAGGTACCAGGGGCATCTCATGGGACCCCCTACTGACCCTGGGCCCTCGGACAGTGCCCGAGTTTCCAAATGGTCAGTCCGGCCCTGCCATTGACACTAATGCAATGGTCAGTGATAATTCCATACACTGTCACTGTACTAATGACACTCTGTGGGAAGGGGTTAACATCTAAGGGCACTGAAGGGGTTAAATTTGTGTGTTACGTGTGCTTTTTTTACTAGCTGACCTCTCAGGCTCTACGAAGCAGGCATGAGAAACTGACAGCTCCCCTTGGTTCAGAGCTCTGTGTTGTTTACCAACATAAGAGCTCTGGGCTGTGATTGCACACACACCCCGATCAGCAGGTCCCGGCCATGAATCATTGGCTAGGACTTGCTGACAAGCTCCTACCCTAAAATTGGAAGTAGGTGACACCGTACCAGTACGTTGCTTTGCCTACAGGCACCACTCATTTGCAGTACAGTGTGGGCGGGTGGTTGGCGAGTGGTTAAAAATATTTTTTCGTTTTCTTCCCATAAACCCTAATAGTGATGCTGCCGCTGTACGAACAATTTTAAACCAAGCCGTACCTGTAAAAGAAGAGTGTATACAGTCGCCTTAATTGCTGCCTGTGCCACCGAGCACCACTCCAATCCTGAGACGTCTTCCAGGAAACCGACACTTCCAGGAGTGTCAATTTCCTGGATCCCACATAGCTCTTACAGGCTCTGTCTGCTGATCTCCACATCATAAGTAGGAGCTGTGGAGGACCCAGGAGGTCAACACTCCCGAAAAGTGTTGGTTTCCCTGCTAACTTACCTGTAACGGAACCGGTACCCGACCGCACTTGGGTATATTCCGTTATCCCGCAGCTTCCGCTGTCCGAACACCATCCACGGACCCCACCCTGAAATCCCTCAGAAAATAGACAGCACCCAGCTCTTCTTAAAACAGAAAGCCAACTCTCTTTATTGTACACAAACAACATGTTTTATACAGAGGGCGGGGAAAGACAACCAGGGACAGGAAACACATCATCAGCCCGCCCCATCCAACCAAGACACAGAACAATGGGATGAAGCACATGGCAAACAAACAATGGACAGCCAAGTGGCCTAGAACAAAGGAATAACCACATGGCAGTAGACAATGCAGGAACACATGGCAAGACACAGAACAATGGGGGGTAGCACAGGGCATAGCACAATAGGCAACCACATGGCAAGGACAAAGGAACACACACTATATGCAAGACTGGGACATTCACATTTACACCCTGTACCCCTTAACAGGCACAGGGTGGGTTAAACATAATGAGGGGGACATGAGCTGACCAAGCGGTCCCCCCACCCCCAAAAGTCACTCCCGTCACATTACCACTTTAGTACTAGTCTCAATATACCTCTTCATTACCAGGCAATTTTCAGTGCCATGACAGTTGCCCTCCAGAGGATTTATCCCCCCTTCCTGAACAGGCCATTTTTTGCAATACGGAGCTGCGTTATATTAACTGACAGTTGCGCGGTCATGCAACGCTGCACATAAATTAAATTTATGTCCTTTTTTTCCCCACAAATAGAACTATTCTTGACTTTTTGCTCTAAAACATATGCAGTAAAAAAAATTAAAAAAATAAAATTTCTTTACAAATTTAGGCCAAAATGTATTCTGCTCCGTGTCTTTGCTAAAAAAAAAAAATCCCAATACATGTAAATTAATTGGTTTATGTGAAAGTTATAGCGTCTACAAATGTCGGTATAGATACTGGAATTTTTTTATCTTTTTTCACTAGTAATGGCGGAGATCAGCGACTTATTGCGGGACTGCGGCAGGCATTCTGACACGGGGGGGATACACCAGACTGATTAACTGCCACCCCAGTGACACTAATATAGTGATCAGTGCTAATAAAAAGCACTGACACTGTACTAATGGCACTGGGCAGGAAGGGGTTAACATCTGGGGCGATCAAAGGGTTAACTGTGTGCTGTGTGTCAGTCCAAAAAAATGTAACAGATAATAAACGTCCAATCCAGTATATGTTGCATTAACATCCAGCCATAATCAACACTGTGCTTGACTTGTGGCCCCGCTCCCTGCTCACCTCAACCATTGACCTATAAATTATAACAGGCCAAAAGCACGCTTTATCAGGAAAATGTGTCTCCAAATTGCTGATCCGTGACGTGTTCCTTCCACGTATTATGCTTCTTTAACCACTTCAGGTCCGGACACTTTCACCCCCTTCCTGTCCAGGCCAATTTTCAGTTTTCAGCACTATCACACTTTGAATGACAATTGTGCGGTCATGCAACACTGTACCCGTATGAATTTTTTAGCATTTTTTTTGAGACAGATAAAACTTTATTTTGGTGGTATTTATTCACCACTGGGATTTTTATTTTTTTGCTATATAAATGAAAAAGTCAAAAAATTTTGAAAAAAAAGTGTTTTTCTTATACAATTTTGCAAATAATCTTTCTTCATAAATGTTGGGGAAAATGTATTCAACTATCTTTTTAGTAAAAAAAAAAAAAAAACCCAACTTAGTTTATAACTAAATCAAAATTAGAATTTTTCAACATTTTTTTTTTTTACATTTTAATTTTATTTTTTTTATATTATTATTTATGTTTTTTTTTAACATACTGTCACTCTAGAAGTACAGTGTCCTCACAAAAGTAATGAATCAAAGGCATATCATAGCCATCAATAAAAATGGTTCCTCTAATCTCTTGTGCCAGTTTGAGCATGACAGGAAGTGATATTACTAGGCTCCGCTCAACATGGTGCATCACAGGTCCGGGACTTCTTCAGGGAAAGGGGCCCTGTGACATTCCCCATCTTTAAATAGGGTACACAGCCAATAGTGTGGTGCCAAAACGAGCAGCATTAGGGAGCCAATGCTGAGCCCATACTAAGGACATAAATGTTAATCACTCAGAGAGTTCACATGTGTACAATCAAATTAAAGGGCCAGTATTAATCCGATCCTCCAGACATGGGAATAGACATAAGTAGTAATATAAAATGGCCCACATGGAAACTTATTGGGTCCCAGCACATTATAAAATGAAAATGAATTAAAACATTATTATCCCCATCAGCAGATGAGTTAAAATATCTAAATAGACATTGACCAATATCCACACCAGTGCATATATGACTAGCGCCATCTAGTGGATAAAGAAAAGAAAGCACCATAAGATTCTAATGGGAAAAAAACGGAATATAAACCTGGAGTGAAAAACTATATATTTACAGAAAACAGAGGTAGAAAGTATTTTGTACATAAAGATAAATGATAATAAATGATATTATTCAGTTTCTTTCCCATTGGAATCTTATGGAGCTTTCTTTTCTTTATCCACTAGATGGTGCTAGTTATATATGCACTGGTGTGGGTATTGGTCAATGTCTATTTTAACTCATCTGCTGATGGGGATAATATTGTTTTAATTCATTTTCATTTTATAATGTGCTGGGACCCAATAAGTTTCCATGTGGGCCGTTTTTATATTACTACTTATGTCTATTCCCATGTCCGGAGGATCAGTTTAATACTGGCCCTTTAATTTGATTGTACACATGTGAGCTCTCACTGGGTGATTAACATTTATGTCCGGAGTATGGGCTCCTCATTGGCTCCCTAATGCTGCTCATTTTGGCACCGCACTAATGGCTGTGTACCCTATTTAACCACTAGCCTACAGGGCACTAAGGCTGGCCATAAACTATACAAATTTCTGTCCAGTTTCTGCCCAATTTTCTTTAGATTTACCTTCAACTGTGTAGTGCAAGGGTCCGCCTAATTGGATATAATTGAAAGTGTTGTTTAGGTTTGACCTCATATTATATGGTTTTTGGTAAATCTAAAGCAATTTTCTAAAGAAAATTGTATAGTGTATGGCCAGCCTTACACCCCCTTCCTGCCCAGGCCAATTTCCAGCTTTCAGAGCTGTTGCACTTTGAATGACAATTGCGCAGTCATGCAACACTGTACCCGTATTAAATTTTTATCATTTTTTTTGTGACAGATAGAGCTTTATTTTGGTGGTATTTAATCACCTCGGGATTTTTTATTTTTTCTTAAACAAACCAAAAACCACTAAAATTTAAAAAAAAAAAAAGTTTTTTCTTAGTTTTTGTTATAAAATTTTGTAAATAAGTGATTTTTCTCCTTCACTGATGTGCGCTAATCTGGCTGCAGTAATGGGCACTGATAGGCTGCACTGATGGACACTGATGAGGAGGCACTGGTAGGAGGCACTGATGGGCATTGAAAGGCAGCACTCATATATGGCACTGATAGGCAGCACTGACTGGCACTGATTGGCAGCACTGATAGGTGGCACTGACTGGCACTGATGGGTGACACTGAAAGGCAGCTCAGATGGGCTCTGATATGTGGCATTGATGTGGCACTGATGGGCACTGGCAGGTGGCATGGATGAGCACTGACAGTTGGACAGTTGGCAATGATGGACACTGACAGGTGGCACTGATGGACACTGACAGGTGGCGCTGCTGGGGCTACACAGATCATCACTGCTCTGATAATCAGTGTACATGTCCCCTCCGAGGAATGCCGATTACCGACTCTCCTCTCCTCACGAGCTGTCAGCGTGACATCTCGTGGGGAGAGAAATGCCGATATGACGTCCTCCCAGAACGAGAGAACCGCCTTGTGTCTGTCATATTACTATATGGCGGGCGGGAGGCGGTTAAAGATGGGGAATGTCACAGGGCTCCTTACCCTGAAGAAGTCACGGACCTGTGATGCACCATTTGGGCGGAGCCTAGTAATATCACTTCCTGTCATGCTCAAACTGGCATGAGTGATGTGAGGAACCATTTTGATTGATGGCTATGATATTCTTCCGATTCATTACTTATTACTTTTGTGAGGGCAGTTTTCACTCGAATAAAGTGTTCATATTTTATGGGGTTGCACTATGATCTATTCCCTTTATCTTTGATCATACACACCTTAATTCCACTGGATATCCGAGAGAATGTTCCCTTAAAGGGCCAGAACTAATGAAGTAGCTACTAAGGATCGGCAGTGGATAAGTAGAATCTGGGTTCATCCCTAAGTATGTATGACCTACCTGTTAGATCAGGGAAGAAGGTGAGTGCATGGTGCACCTACCCGGTGATGGGAAACACCGCAATATAGTCGGCACGGTGGAGTAACGCATATATGTTCACCATAACTGGGAGTCACATATAATTTGTTTAACCTCCCTAGCGGTCTGATTATGTCCATATTTCTGTGCTCAAAGCGGTACATTTTTTTGCATGGCAATATGTTGTTTTTTTATTGCAGGCCTGTAATTCTTAGGAATAACTCGGTGAAATCTGTCCGAACAAGAGTCTAGTAAACATCCCGGGGATGATAAAGTTTGAAACACGAAATCATAAATTATAATATAATAAATAATCATAAAAAACCAATAATATAATAATAAATTTAATTCAATAATATAATCAAACCAAAAACACTGAAATGTGAAATATAGCGCCAAGTTCGCACATCACTGAGCAAAGTCGCAGAATCGTTTTCAGTGTCTGATGACAAATTTCCCCACGAATCATTATCACTCAATTCTGCAAGTGGTTCTGATTTACTATCGCTGTTCTCTAGCCGGTCTAAAACCGCTTTTGACCTAAAGGGACGCTTTTTGGACGCCATGGACGTTTCTCAGTTTCCAGGCAGAAAGAACAGTAAAAATGCAGGCAGGGCGCCGGACAAAGCACTCGGGACAAAATGTATGTGAAATGGTTTGATACAGGAATGTTATACTATGTGATTTTAGTGTATTTAGTGAACATTTTTAAATTTCCTGCTGGTCCCGTCCCCGTACGTCCCGACGTAGCAGGAAACGGAAGATGGATGCCGGCATCGGCCGGAGGACATTACAGGGGACACTGCAGGGGGAACATCGCGGGAGCGCAGGACAAGGTAAGTGCAGAACAGATCCCGGAGCAGCGCCGCATGGTATTTCCGAGTGTAGCTCGGGGTTACCGCTTGTGGTGCTGAAAGTTTACCCCGAGCTACACTCGGGAATACCTCCAGGGTATTGTAACACGTTTTAATTCTTGGTTATATAAAACGGTGTTACACTATGGTATGTTTTTGCTTTATTTTTAAAAAATTCATACGGGTACAGTGTTGCATGACCGCACAATTGTCATTCAAAGTGTGATAGTGCTGAAAACTGAAAATTGGTCTGGACAGGAAGGGGGTGAAAGTGTCCGGACCTGAAGTGGTTAAAGAAGCATAATATGTGGAAGGAACACGTCACGGATCAGCAATTTGGAGACACATTTTCCTGATAAAGCGTGCTTTTGGCCTGTTATAATTTATAGGTCAATGGTCGAGGTGAGCAGGGAGCGGGGCCACAAGTCAAGCACGGTGTTGATTATAGCTGGATGTTAATGCAACATATACTGGATTGGATGTTTATTATCTGTTACATTTTTTTTGGACTGTCACTTTATGCTCTCAAAGCTTATGGTTCTATTTATGATATGATTTATTTTATTTTGAGTGTGAGTACACCAGAGTAGTGAGAGCAGCAATCTTCACCCCTGATATTATTACTATAGTTGGAACATAGCAGCTCATAGGTCTTTACCATTTGTATGTGCTGTGTGTGTTTTACTACATAGACAAGCTGCTTTGTATTGCTGTACACAGCAGAGCAATACAAAGCAGCCTGTTCCTGCTGATCTGTGTTGTTTACATACAGACCTCTCCCCTATCAGCTTCGCCGACGATCACCGAGTCCTGGCTGAGAATCGGCGGACAGGTCCCGGTGATTGACATATCAAGGAGCCAATAGCGTTGAGGGTAGGTAGCGCACGCGCCCCCCCTAGCAGGAAATACAGATTCACTTATATATATGTGATTTTGCGCATCCTTGCCGCCCTGTAGCAAAATTTCTGCTATAAGGCAGTTGGAAAGCCATTAACTGGAAATTACTTGGTTATGCAACTGTACCTAAATGAATTTTCTATCATTTTTTAATACAGAGATAGAGCTTTCTTTTGGTGGTCGATCTCACGTTATCATTGTCAGTGGTATCTAAACTCTCCCCCACCACCAAAGATTATGAAATGGTCCTGGGATATATATCCCAGGAGGCAGCGGGAGGCGAGTGAACGGCCATTCTCATCTAGGCGCATATGTGGGTAGGGACAGTGGCAAATAGAAATTTAAAAAAAAAAAAGTAATAAATTTTGTCTTTAAAAAAAAAAAAAGTGGAGGGAGGATGAGAATGATGAAAAGTTTAATGTACTTAACCTGAAAGCAAAAATGTATTATATTGCAGCTTATCAATTCTTAGATGTGATGATGGCTGCATTAGTTTTCTTTTTTAAAGCTTTTTTTTTTCCACCTAGTGATTCAGCCAATACTTTGCTGTTTTTTTTTTAACAGAAAAAGCTCTCCTGCAGATGTAGCAGTAAGAGCACTGAGACAATCCATTTAACACTGACAGAGGTGCTTACAATGATCAGTGTTTAGTTATTCATGTAAAAACTTTATGCCAACAGGAAAAAAAAAAAAAATTTAACTGTTTATAAAGTGTGAGCTGGAGCTTGGCTTCAATCTAAATCTGCTAATACATCGAACGCTCCCTCCCCCCGACTAAAAATGCTGCTGGTTAAAGTTTCCCCCTGTGCTAGTACATCGAACCCCCCCAGAATGAAAATGCTGCTGGTCAAATCTGCCCCCTGTGCTAGTACATTGAACCCCCCCAGACTGAAAATGCTGCTGGTCAAATCTGCCCCCTGTGCTGGTACATCGAACCCCCCCAGATTGAAAATGCTGCTGGTCAAATCTGCCCCCTGTGCTAGTACATCGAACCCCCCCAGACTGAAAATGCTGCTGGTCAAATCTGCCCCCTGTGTTAGTACATCAAACCCCCCCAGATTGAAAATGCTGCTGGTCAAATCTGCCCCCTGTGCTAATACATCGAACCCCCCCAGATTGAAAATGCTGCTGGTCAAATCTGCCCCCTGTGCTGGTACATCAAACCCCCCCCCCCCCCCAGGCTGAAAATGCTGCTGGTCAAATCTGCCCCCTGTGCTGGTACATCAACCCCCCCCCCCCCGACTGAAAATGCTGCTGGTCAGATCTGCCCCCTGTGCTGGTACATCAAAACCCCCCCCCCCCCAGACTGAAAATGCTGCTGGTCAAATCTGCCCCCTGTGCTAGTACATTGAACCCCCCCATACTGAAAATACTGCTGATCAAATCTGCCCCCTGTGCTAGTACATTGAACCCCCCCCCAGACTGAAAATGTTGCTGATCAAATCTGTCCCCAGTGCTAGTACATTGAACCCCCCCCCCTCCCCAGACTGAAAATGCTGCTGGTCAAATGTGCCCCTGTGCTAGTACATTGAACCCCCCCCCAGACTGAAAATGCTGCTGATCAAATCTGCCACCTGTGCTAGTACATCAAACCCCCCCAGACTGCAAATAATGCTGCTGATCAAATCTGCCCCCCTGTGCTAGTACATTGAACCCCCTCCCCCCATACTGAAAATGCTGCTGATCAAATCTGCCCCCTGTGCTAGTACATCAAAACCCCCCCCAGACTGAAAATGCTGCTGGTCAAATCTGCCCCCTGTGCTGCTTCATCCAGAGTGGGAGCACTCCAATTCAGGAGGTGTGTTGCTGGCCAGATCACCTGGGGGAAAATCCTATATGTAATGCAATATATGATATTTATGGTGTTCGGTTTTTGATGCCGCTTTAGTTTTCTAGTGAAGTTCTGCTTCCAGGATTGGTATTATGAGGCTCATTTTGGCGCTGTGTGAATGAATGCACCATTACTCCATTTTTCTCTTCCTTGGTCCACAGTGGAGGAAGGCCCAGTCTACGCTATGTGCGCGGCAGGAGATGAAAAGCTGCTGGTCAAATGGATTCAGGGGCTGCAAGAGACTAATCCGATCCTTGGGGAGGTGCCCGTCCTTTTCCGACTGTCCTCTGGCCCTCTGGAGTTGGGTCTTCCAGAACAAACAGACAGTTCACAATTGGAGAGCAATGAGGAAAGCACTCAGCGGGAGAGACTCGGGATGGAGCAGTAATATATCTATGGAGGAATGCTATCAGAACGGAGTTTAAACCAGCTACATCGAAGTGAAGACCAGAACAAGAACCCAAATGGACCCTTTGCTTTATTTACACACCAAGGACCTTGATTGTAGATACAGCACATGTGTCAATCTACGGTGCCGGGTACTGAGATTGGTTCTTAGTGGAAGCGTAGGGGGTCCCGACCCATAGTCCATAAAAGTCCCCACTTAACCTGCTTTCCTATGTCTTGTGCTCGTTTTTTTTTTCCGGCCAAGCTGTACTTGCATCGGCATCCATACACCATGGAAATCTAGTAATAGTCACATTCATCTGTAATGTTGGAGACGTTTCATAGATTCTCCGAAGCACTTCTTCACTTCTAATGAGTGACACCCCAACATTTATAGCCACACAGGCAGCCCAGACACCTTAATCTGAACCACCCCGCTCTAGTTACGAAGGCCCACCTTTGGTGTCAAGAAGTCTGCATAACGAAACCAAAATGATGCAGCGCTACCCTAATAATAAAATAATACAGTATGGCAAAAACAAACAAAGTGACATAAATATATATATATGTGACAAAAAAAAAATCAGTGGATTGATCCTCTCTGGGGATGTCACTATAAAGTGATAAAAAATATATATACGTGCCAATAAATCAGTGGATTGATCCTCTCTGGGGATGTCACTATAAAGTGATAAAAAATATATATATACGTGCCAATAAATCAGTGGATTGATCCTCTCTGGGGATATCAATATAAAGTGACATAAAATATATATACGTGCTAATAAATCAGTGGATTGATCCTCTCTGGGGATATCAATATAAAGTGACATAAAATATATATACGTGCTAATAAATCAGTGGATTGATCCTCTCTGGGGATGTCACTATAAAGTGATAAAAAATATATATACGTGCTAATAAATCAGTGGATTGATCCTCTCTGGGGATATCAATATAAAGTGACATAAAATATATATACGTGCCAATAAATCAGTAAATTGATCCTCTCTGGAGATCTCAATATAAAGTGACATAAAATATATATATACGTGCCAATAAATCAGTGGATTGATCCTCTCTGGGATCTCAAGTGAAAAAGTGATCACACCTGGTATAAAAAAAACAGGAACCAATACCCCCACTATGCAAAATAGGGTCATTCATAAAATAAAACACAAATAAGCGTGAATCCCTAAATAGGGATCAATAAATTCATGCAAATGATGGTGAAAATGAGAACATAAACCCCTCACAGGGATCAACAATATCATGCAGATCGTGACAAATAACGGCTAAATTAAGCCAAAAAGTAAATAGTGACATAAAATAGATCCCTAAATGCGCCGGAAGTACGTCACCACACTCGCGTCCTACGCGTTACGTCACGCTATCACATGATATCCCAGAGAGGATCAATCCACTGATTTATTGGCACGTATATATTTTATGTCACTTTATATTGAGATCCCCAGAGAGGATCAATCCACTGATTTTTTTGTCACATATATATATATTTTATTTATTTCAGATACTTATATAGTGCTGTCAATTTACGCAGCGCTTTACATGTATATTGTACATTCACATCAGTTCCTAACCCTCAAGGGGTGTACAGTCTAAGGTCCCTAACTCACATTCATACATACACATACTAGGGACAATTTAGACAGGAGCCAATGCACCTACCAGCATGTCTTTGGAGTGTGGGAGGAAACCAGAGTACCCAGAGGAAACCCACGCAGGCACAGGGAGAACATGCAAACTCCAGGCAGGTGGTGCAATGGTTGGGATTTGAACCGGCGACCATAGTACTGCCAGGCAGAAGTGCTAACCACTTAGCCACTGTGCTGCCCAATATTTATGTCACTTTGTTTGTTTTTGCCATACTGTATTATTTTATGATTAGGGTAGCGCTGCATCATTTTGGTTTCGTTCGTTTTTATTTCCACATGGTATATGGTTAGGTGCTAGCAGCTCCCACTCACCTAATTTATCAGGTAATAGTAGCAAAGGAGATCTTCATTATTTTTGTTAAGAAGTCTGCTTAGGTGTCAATCCTTTGACTTACTTGACTGAAGATGAGAACTGTTGCTGAATCGCCGAGGTATAGAGGACTAAGGAAATGACTAGGAGAAGCTACAAAATGTCTTCAACAGCACAGAACAGGTCCAGCTGAATGTGAACAACTTATTTTTAGCACTAGATATTCTTTTGGTTTAATTTTCCAAAAAGGTAGAGGGAACATTTCATGTAGAACTTGTAGTGCAAATATTTTTTGATAGTTTTGCCTTTATATAGATAATATTAAAAACTTTAAACTGGTCTGTGGCCCCTTTTAAGAAGTTGCTCACCTTTTTTTTCTTGACATTGGACAATGGTAGATGAAAAATCTTCCAATGGAGACACCTGTTCATCAGACATCTGCCAAACAGGGAGGTTTCCTCCTAGCATTCAGGAGATTGCTCCTTGCTTCCAGTTGCTTTTCTGGGACAGGAAGTGGGGGAAAGTCTCCCCGATATGGCCAAAGACAGCAATAAGGAATTGGTATGTTCTAACTAGGGATGCATCAATATATCGGCCACGGAAAATGATCTGCCGAAAATAAAGTTGTCTGCGTTTTGCTGATAAAAAATAAAAAGGTGCCGATAATGATAATTCAGCCTTTCTCAACCAAGGTGCCCAGGCATCCTGGGGTGCCTTGAGGCTTCTTTAGGGGTGCCTTGGCAAAATGTCTAAAAATTGCCCATAGCTTGTATACAAGCCAGCGGGTGGAACAAGTCTGCCTTTTAGTTACACAAAGCCACAGGTTTTCATTGTGCGCCATTACGACCTTCTAGCTACCACCATCCTGACAACCAATGACATCATCAGTTAATAAGGTGTATGTCAGCTGCCTGCACAGCATCCTAGTTTGACCCTCCCCCGCCCCTATCAGTGCTGGGGTCACATTAGCTCAGTGGTGGATACAAACTGAGGGAGAAGAGAAACAATGGAATACTAGTCGGTACCAGTGTGCAAAAGTGTATTTGCTTTGGAAGAATAAATCACCTCTAATGTTGGGTGTCCTACATGTGTGGATGTTGCTGTGTTATATAAAACTGTTAGAATAGTTTTCCACATTTTAGAATGCTGTGCATCAAGACTGTCCATAATTTTAAAGGGTGCCTTGACTGAAAAATGGTTGAGAAACACTGTGATAATTGACTTCAATGCAAAATCGCGTCCCATTTGCTGCAATGCAAAATTGCATCCCAGTGACTTCAGTGCAAAAATCGCATCCCAATGCAAAATCAGTGCTGTCCTGAGAGGGTCAGGGGTCATGCAGCCTCATAGGACAGTCAGAGGAGAATAAAAACTCCTCCTACAAGATTACCCAGTGCTCATGTGGACACAGAAGTCACATGACTGCTCTAACTGCTGATGAGAATTGGTATTTAGCAGTTTATATTTACCAAAATAATACAATTTCCATGTTGTGTGTACTGTGGGAGACCAGATATAGTGAATGCAGGGTCCAGGGAGACCAGATATAGTGACTTCAGGGTCCGGGGAGACCAGATATAGTGAATGCGGGGTCCTGGGAGACCGGATATAGTAAATGCGGGGTCCTGGGAGACTGGATATAGTGAATGCAGGGTCCGGGGAGAGCGGATACAGTGAATGCAGGGTGCGGGGAGACCGGATACAGTGAATGCAGGGTCCGGGGAGAGCGGATATAGTGAATGCAGGGTCCCGGGAGACCGGATATAGTGAATGCAGGGTCCCGTGAGACCGGATATAGTGAATGCAGGGTCCGGGGGGAGACCGGATATAGTGAATGCAGGGTCCAGGGAGACCAGATATAGTGAATGCAGGGTCCGGGGAGACCAGATATAGTGAATGCGGGAACCCGGGAGACCAGATATAGTGAATGCGGGGGTCCGGGGAGACCGGATATAGTGAATGCAGGGTCCGGGGAGACCGGATATAGTGAATGCAGGGTCCCCGGAGACCAGATATAGTGAATGCAGGGTCCCGGGAGACCAGATATAGTGAATGCAGGGTCCCGGGAGACCAGATATAGTGAATGCGGGGTCCCGGGAGACCAGATATAGTGAATGCAGGGTCCCGGGAGACCAGATATAGTGAATGCAGGGTCCGGGGTGAGACCAGATATAGTGAATGCAGGGTCCGGGGAGACCAGATATAGTGAATGCAGGGTCCTGGGTTTAGTAACACTTTTTAAATTCATGATATTAATTAAAAAGTCAAATATAATACAATTATATATAAAAAGATATATATTTTGTTTTAAACTGTCCATTTCGGTTTTCAGCCAAGTGCATCCTGAATGTTCAGTTTCGGTCCAGAATTTTCATTTTGGTGCACCACCAGTTCTAACCTTTCTCCGCTCCATAATAAATTAGAATAAATGTTTTGGCTGGAGTTCTGTCTTCACATAGGACATTGTGACAAAATGCTTTGAAGGTCATTGAGCAGAATCCTTTCCAATCCCTGCATCCTCATACTGATCAGACAAGGGTTGATCTGGCTTTCTCTACTCATCGCAGGGGGGGGATTGCTGTTACACTTCATCTATGTTGAGATCTACGGCGCTGTGATGTCATATTTATCAGCTTAGCATGTGGGAAACATGAAGATCTTTCTGTATGGAATTCATCAAGAAAGATTGTGATTGGATCATGGCAGGTATGATGACTGACCGGTCTGTTTTTTTTTTCTCTCTTTTCAAAGAATAACCACAGGAGCTTGTTCACATGTGCTTTGATTCCTGAAGAGTCATCCACGTTTGAATCGCTCTTCAGAGAGCGGCGAGGAATCGCTGTATCGCCTCCTCACAGTTGACTTTAAAGTGGTTGTAAAGGCTGAAGGTTTTTTATCTTCATGCATTCTATGTATGGGAGTAAAAAACCTTCTGTGTGCTACTCCCCCCCAGCCCCCCAATACTTACCTAAACCCCCTTTTGATCCAGCGATGTACAGGAGAGCCTCGGCTGTCCCAGGTCTCTCTTTCCTCATTGGCTGAGACACAGCAGCCAGAGCCATTGGCTTCCACTGCTGTCAATCACACCCAGTGAGGCAACGAGGAGAGTTTGGGGCTGGGCCAAGCTGCTGCTCTGTGTCTTATGGATGCATAGAACAGTGGCTCTGGAGCGAGCACACACCAGTGCCCCCATAGCAAGTTGCTTGCTATTGGGGGAAATGGTCAAAGGGGAAGGATCCATGAGCGCTGGCGGGGGACCCAAGGAGAAGAGGATTGTTAAGTGCAGGTAAGTATAACATGTTTGTTATTAAAAAAACAAACAAAAAAAAAAACTAAGCTTTAATATCACTTTAACCCCACACTCGTGTATGTAGTTGTGGGGTGCTTGCAGAGCAGCCCTATTCACTTGGATGAGTTGTACTCAGTGATATATGCAAATTTTGACCCTGCTCCAAGTGGTCACTTATGGTGTCACACTCGCCTCTCCCGGGATCCAGCACTTTGGCACGTCTAGCACCAGCACTTTCAGGTTTCACCCAGAGTGCTGGTGTCATGGTCAGTTAGGAGAAAGCTTTCCTGCTTGGTGCTACAATAAAGCGTCGTTCCAGGTCCCCCACCCCCGAAAAAAAAATTAAGTCAGCAGCTACAAATACTTCTGGCTGCGGCGAACTGTGCCGGAAGTGGAAAAGGGTACCTGCCAAAACTGAAAAGGGAAGCTTCCACGTTTGGGTGGTACTTTGTTTTGAATTGTAAAGCAACAAGACTCTGCTTTCAAGCAGCATGCTGCTAAACTTTAGCCAAGACCCCCTGCTGCGGTTTCATATTTGTATCCCCAGTGTCTGCCTCTGGTGTTCCCAAGTATCTCCAAGTCTGCTAGTGACTCCAGTGCAGCCCCCCGTGTCAGCTAGTGACTCCAGTGCAGCCCCCCCCCCGTGTCAGCTAGTGACTCCAGTGCAGCCCCCCCGTGTCAGCTAGTGACTCCAGTGCAGCCCCCCCGTGTCAGCTAGTGACTCCAGTGCAGCCCCCCCGTGTCAGTGACTCCAGTGCAGCCCCCCCCATCAGTGACTCCAGTGCAGCCCCCCCCGTGTCAGCTAGTGACTCCAGTGCAGCCCCCCCCGTGTCAGCTAGTGACTCCAGTGCAGCCCCCCCCGTGTCAGCTAGTGACTCCAGTGCAGCCCCCCCCGTGTCAGCTAGTGACTCCAGTGCAGGCCCCCGCGCCAGCTAGTGACTCCATTGCAGCCCCTTGTCTAAACTTTTTTTTTTTTTTTAAACGGACGGTTTTTGCCCCATTTATGGTCTGCTATAATCTGCCAACTACAACGACCCCTATTAACCAGCGATCTCAGTGATCGCTGTGTCCGTAGGACACAGCTGATCACGTGATGTGGTAAAAGGCCAATCACAGCGGCTTTTTACCACGTGATCAGCCGTGTCCAATGACACGCTGATCACCGGGAAATGCAACTGCCAGTTCTCGGGTGCACTTTCCTCACGCTGTCAGATCGTGAGGAAAGTACTGCCGAGAACCGGCAGTTGTTAGAGCGGGGATCGGCACTGATGATTGGTGCCCAGCAGTGCCACCCACAAGTTCTGCCCACCTGTGCCACCCAGCAGTGTCACACACCTGTGCCTATCAGTGCAGTCCAGCAGTGCCAGTCAGTGCCCAGCGGTTGTGCCAGTCAGTGCCACCTATCAGTACCCATCATCAGTGCCACCTATCCGTGACACCTCATTAGTGCTGCCTATCAGTGCCTATTAGTGCCACCTCATCAATGCACATCAGTGAAGGAGAAAAATTACCTGTTTGAAAAATTTTAGAATAGAAACAAAGACACTTTTTTTTTTCCAAATTTTTTGCATTTTTTTATTTATAGCGCAAAAAGTAAAGTGCCCAGCGGCGATTAAATACCACCAAAAGAAAGCTCTGTTTGTGAGAAAAAAATGACAAAAATTTCATATGGGTACTATGTTGCATGGCCGCGCAATTGTCAAAGTGCGACAGCGCTGAAAGCTGAAAAGTGGCCTGGTAAAGAAGGGGGTATAAGTACTCGGTAGGCAAGGGGTTAAAATGCGTTCAGATGTAACTAGGTTAGGCCATGTTTGTGGTTACGGATATCCGGCACATATCTGCTCACCATACCAATATTCTACAGCAGTGGTCTCCAAACTGTGGCCCAGGGGGCCAAATGTGGCCCTTTGCTTGCTATTATCTGGCCCTTGGGACACTAAATAAATCATGGACACCAATGAAAGGCATAATTCCTCCTAACGACACCAATGATGGGCAAATTCCTACCAATGAGATCCGGGGGCTTCCAGATATTGATAAGCCCCCACAACTATCACCCAGGGTTGTGGGGAAGAGGCCCCTTTCCCCATCAAAGGGGACATGGTGCTTTGAGGGAGGAGACCCTCTGCCCTAAAGCACCGCCCCCTCCATGTTGAGGGCATGTGGCTTGGTATCATTCAAAAGGGGGGCACTCGCACCCCCCCCTTTCCTGACCTCCCGGGCTGCATGCTCGGATAAGGGTCTGGTATGGATAAAGTGGGGGAAAGAGGGCCAAGGCACTTTTAAAAAAAAAATTTTGGCGTGGAGTGTTCCTCTCAAAATCTGTACCAGACCTGAAAGGCTTGGTGTGGATGGGATGGGGGACCCTATGCGTTTTTTGTTTTTTTTTAATTGTCGGCAATGCTGACAATTCTTTTGGCATTCAGCTGTCTGCGGGGAACCCCACTGACAGCTGAATCATGAATGAACGTTTCACTATTAAAATACTGCATTACTATGAATATAACTCATGGCGTATTTTAGTGACTGAGCGGTATCTTACCATACACTCTGATGCGGTAAGATACCGCTCAATAAACTGACCCGGTTTGATGTTCATGGTTGAACTTTCGGTAGGTTTGAATGTTCGACCATGAACCAAATGGGGTAGGGGGGATTGTTCAGCCCATCACTACACATGAGCTTGCTGTGCTGAAGTTTCACTTTCACTTACAGGTTCCTCTTCCCTCCTCCAGCCCAGTGATGAGCTCACTTCTGTCACCTTGCTCTCTCCTCCTATCAGCATGCTCTTGGCATTGCAGTACACCTGATTCGCTCTTTCTGCTGCTGCTTCACCCTCCCCCTCTCTGAGCCTTGCTGTTATAGAAGAATTTAGGAGGCTGACATCGGGTCACATTCAGGTTCCGATACTTTCCCCTGAAAAATAAAATGAGAAACATGCATTTGTCCTTTTCTATGTGGCGGGATCTCACCTTTAATGATTCAGCGTCCACAGCATGTAGACATTGGAAATACAAATGCTCACCCCAATGTGTTCTGCAAATACAAATGCTCACCCCAATGTGTTCTACAAATGCTCACCCCAATGTGTTCTACAAATGCTCACCCCAATGTGATCTGCAAATGCTCACCCCAATGTGTTCTACAAATACAAATGCACACCCCAATGTGTTCTACAAATGCTCACCCCAATGTGTTCTACAAATACAAATGCTCACCCCAATGTGTTCTACAAATACAAATGCACACCCCAATGTGTTCTACAAATGCTCACCCCAATGTGTTCTACAAATACAAATGCTCACCCCAATGTGTTCTACAAATGCTCACCCCAATGTGTTCTGAAAATGCTCACCCCAATGTGTTCTGAAAATGCTCACCCCAATGTGTTCTGCCCCATTTATCAGACCTTTGCCCCCTGCAGGTGAAATGCTGGTTGTTAATAAAGTTTGTTGGAAAGGTTGCGATGACGTAAGCGCGGGTGTAGCAAGATGGCGTCGCCGGTGGCGGCAGAGGCTCCCTCTTCGGAGGACGACGAAGACAGCGGCGGGAGGAAGGTGCGGGGCCGGCCCCGGCTGACTGACACGGACCGGGTGCGGCGGCGGCTGGAGTCCCGGAAGAAGTACGACTGCCGCCGGGTGTACCTGGGAGAGGCACACGGAGCCTGGGTGCAGCGGAGGGAGAAGGGGGCGGAGAGCGGGGGCGGGGCCTGGACGGACGCCAAGCTGGCCGCTTACCTGCTGGAGTTGGAGGCGCGAGGAGGGTGAGAGTACCTGAGTGTCCCGGCATGCACTGCGAGAGATCCACACTGCCCCTCCCCCATGTGTGCACCAGAATAATAACTGGGGGGGAGGGCGGGGCCTCTGATATTGGGAATAGACTCCTCCTCCTCATCGCCACTATTCTGATGATCAGCCGTGATTGGTTGGAGCTTTGGTTGCCCATTGTTAGGCTGATCATTGACTGTACAGAGGAAGAAGAGACAATTCTACTCTGTGTACCAGGGGAAGGTGTTCTGTATACCAGGGGAAGGTGTTCTGTATACCAGGGGAAGGTGTTCTGTATACCAGGGGAAGGTGTTCTGTATACCAGGGGAAGGTGTTCTGTATACCAGGGGAAGGTGTTCTGTATACCAGGGGGCCATGTCCTGTGTACCGGGGGAAGGTGTTCTGGGTACCAAGGGGCCTTGTCCTGTGTAACAGGGGAAGGTGTTCTGTATACCAGGGGGCCTTGTCCTGTGTAACAGGGGAAGGTGTTCTGTGTACCAGGGGGCGGTGTTCTGTGTACCGGGGGAAGGTGTTCTGTATACCAGGGGGCCGTGTCCTGTGTACCGGGGGAAGGTGTCCTGTGTACCGGGGGAAGGTGTCCTGTGTACCGGGGGAAGGTGTCCTGTGTACCGGGGGAAGGTGTCCTGTGTACCTGGGGAAGGTGTCCTGTGTACCTGGGGAAGGTGTCCTGTGTACCGGGGGAAGGTGTCCTGTGTACCAAGGGGCCTTGTCCTGTGTAACAGGGGAAGGTGTTCTGTATACCAGGGGGCCTTGTCCTGTGTAACAGGGGAAGGTGTTCTGTATACCAGGGGGCCTTGTCCTGTGTAACAGGGGAAGGTGTTCTGTATACCAGGGGGCCTTGTCCTGTGTAACAGGGGAAGGTGTTCTGTATACCAGGGGGCCTTGTCCTGTGTAACAGGGGAAGGTGTTCTGTATACCAGGGGGCCTTGTCCTGTGTAACAGGGGAAGGTGTTCTGTATACCAGGGGGCCTTGTCCTGTGTAACAGGGGAAGGTGTTCTGTATACCAGTGGGCCTTGTCCTGTGTAACAGGGGAAGGTGTTCTGTGTACCAGGGGGCGGTGTTCTGTGTACCAGGGGGCGGTGTTCTGTGTACCAGGGGGCGGTGTTCTGTGTACCAGGGGGCGGTGTTCTGTGTACCAGGGGAAGAAGTTCTGTATACTAGGGGACCGTGTTCTGGGTACTAGGGGAAGTTCTGTATAGTAGGGGACTATGCTCTAGGGGACCGTGTTCTGTATAATAAATACGGGCATCCGTATGATAATGACATTGTGTATAATATTCAATAAAGAGTTCTAATGTATATAAAACATCTAATAATCCCTATGATAGAGCATGGTATTTTACATAATAAAGTATAATAATGATCATCAATGTCATAAAGACTGATATTCTGTATAATAGGGAAGTACTGGGTTTGGGCAAAATGATGAAAACATCAGGTACATTTATATTACCCGAAACCATGGCGCTTCTCTTGCGAGATGTGGTGGTGGGGGGGGGTGCCAATGGTGAAAAATGATTATTATACAGGATTTATATAGTGGCAAGAGTTTGCGCAGCGCTGTATGAAATGAAGGCAGACATTCCAGTTACAATACAATTTGGTACAGGAGGAAACAGAGGGCCCGGCTCGTTAGAGATTACAATCTAGGAGGAAGGGTTGAGTGATACAAAAGGTAATAGCTGTGGGGGGGGTGAGCTGATGGAGGAAATAAATGGCAGTTTACTAGTTAGAAGCAGGATATGCTTCTTTAAATAGATAGGTTCTCAGGGATAGATTAGGAGACAGCCGGACAGATTGGGGTAGGGAGTTCCATAGGATGGGAGAAGCTCGGGAGAAGTCCTGGAGGCGAGCATGGGAGGAGGTGACACGGGAACTAGAGAGAAGAAGGTCTTGGGAGGATCGAAGAGAGATATTTTGAGACCAGGTTGGTGATGTAGCTGGGGGCAGAGTTGTGGATGGTTTTGTAGATTGTTAGTATTATAAATTGTATTCGTTGGGCGAGTGGAAGCAAATGGAGGGATTGGCAGAGAGGGGTGGAGGACACTGGAGGTCAGTGGAGGGATTGGCAGAGAGGGGTGGAGGACACTGGAGGTTAGTGGAAGTATTGGCAGAGAGGGGTGTAGGTCACTGGAGGTCAGTGGAGGGATTGGCAGAGAGGGGTGGAGGACACTGGAGGTCAGTAGAGGGATTGGCAGAGAGGGGTGGAGGTCAGTGGAGGGATTGGCAGAGAGGGGTGGAGGACACTGAGTGGAGGTCAGTGGAGGGATTGGCAGAGAGGGGTGGAGGACACTCGAGGCCAGTGGAAGGATTGGCAGAGAGGGGTGGAGGACACTGGAGGTCAGTGGAGGGATTGGCAGAGAGGGGTGGAGGGATTGGCAGAGAGGGGTGGAGGTCAGTGGAGGGATTGGCAGAGAGGGGTGGAGGACACTGGAGGTCAGTGGAAGGATTGGCAGAGAGGGGTGGAGGACACTGGAGGTCAGTGGAGGGATTGGCAGAGAGGGGTGGAGGTCAGTGGAGGGATTGGCAGAGAGGGGTGGAGGACACTGGAGGTCAGTGGAAGGATTGGCAGAGAGGGGTGGAGGGATTGGCAGAGAGGGGTGGAGGACACTGGAGGTCAGTGGAGGGATTGGCAGAGAGGGGTGGAGGACACTGGAGGTCAGTGGAAGGATTGGCAGAGAGGGGTGGAGGACACTGGAGGTCAGTGGAGGGATTGGCAGAGAGGGGTAGTAGACACTGAACGGTTGGTAAGGTGCAAGAATTGACTCCACCTTTCTGTTGTGTGTCTCTGTGTGCCACACGGAGAAGAGAAAGACCAGCAAAGAATTGTCTGAGGATTTAAGAACAGAATTTGTAGTAGAAAAGCATGGACAATCTCGAGGTTACAAGTCCATCTCCAGAGATCTTAATGTTCCTGTGTCCACTGTGCACAACATTGTCAAGAAGATTACAGCCTATGGCACTTTACCTGATCTCCCTGGATGTGGATTAAAAAGAAAAATGAAGGATTGTTTGATTGGTGGATAAAGGACTTTGATCAACTTCCAGGCAAATTCAAGCTGACCTTCACGCACAGGGCACGACTGTGTCTGCTCGCACCATACGCCTCCATCTGAATGAAAAGGGACGCTATGGTAGGAGACCCAGGCGGACCCCACTGCTGACACAGAAACATAAAAGAGCCAGATTGGAGTTTGCCTCAACTTACCTGAGGAAGCCAAAATCCTTTTGGGAGAATGTGTTGTGGACAGACAAAACCAAATTCCAGCTTTTTGGTAAAGCCCATCATTCTACTGTTTTCAGAAAAAGAAATGAGACTTTTAAAGAAAAGAATACAGTCCCTCCAGTCACACATGGTGGAGGTCAATCCCATAGAGCACCTGTGGAGAGATCTCAGAACAGCAGTTGAGAAAAGGAACCTTCCAATCTGAGAGACCTGGAGCAGTTGGTGAAAGAAGAGTGATCCAAAATTCCAGTAGAGAGGTGGAAGAAACTCATTGATGGTTACAGGAAGCCATTGATGTCAGTTATTTTTACCAAACATTTGTAATTGCAACTATTTTCTGGGTGAAGTGGTGCAGAAATGTAGGGGTGCCAATATTTTTGGCCATGACTGTAATACAGAATTCTAATCTATATAATAAAGCATGATACACTATATGATAGAGAATGATATTCTGCAAAATAAATTATAATATCTATATAATAAAGATACATAATTGATATAATAGACAATGATAATCTATATAATAAAATATAACAATTCTATGTATTAAATAATTATATTTATTAATAATCTATATCATCTAAAAGTATCTATATAACAGAGAATGATATTCTATATAATAAAGTATAATATACCATATAATAATCAACTGTATTCTAAATAATAATAATCTTTATAATAGAGAATGATATTCTATATAATAAAGAATGATAATCTATATAATAAAATGCAATAATCTATATAATAAAGAATTACAATAGAGAGTGATATTTTACCTAACAAAGAATGATATAATTAGGAATTATTTTATATTGTAAAGTATATATAATAAGGTATAATAATCTATATAATATAAAAATTATACTGTATATAATAATCTATATAATATAATCTATATCATAAAGAATAAATAAAAAATATAAAGAATGATAATCTGTATAATAAAGAATGATGAATGATAATCTATACAATAAACTATTCAATATAATCAAAATGATAACTACATATTTAAGAAAGATATTCTATATAATGAAGACTGCTAATCTATATAATAAAATATTCAATATAATAAAAAAAGTGCTAATCTATATAATAATTACAATAGAGAATTATATTTTTCCTAATAAAGAATTATATAATGAGGAATGATATTTTATATTGTAAAGTATATATAATAAGGTATAATAATCTATATAATACAATCTATATCATAAAGAATGATAATCAATATATAATAAAGAATGATGAATGATAATCAATACAATAAAATATTCAAAATTATTATTATTATACAGTATTTATAAAGCGCCAATGGTTCGCTCAGCGCTGTACATTACAAAGGGGGACAGAACATGTGACAGAACAATACCAATACAATGCAAAACATGAGGGGATCGAGGGCCCTGCTCTTTCGAGCTTACAATCTAGGAGGGAGGGGATGGTGGCGCAGGAGGAGGAGATGGCTGTGGGGGATGGAGTGGTAGGAAGAGTGGAGGAGGTCAGCAAGTTTGCAGGGGGTGGGGTAGGCTTCCCTGAAGAGATGGGTTTTCAGGGTGCGCCTAAAGGAGAGGAGAGTAGGTGATAATCTGATGGGTTGGGGCAGGGAGTTCCAGAGGATGGGTTACACCCTGGAGAAGTCCTGGAGGCGGGCATGGGAGGAGGAGACCAGGGAACTAGAGAGAAGGAGGTCTTGTGAGGAGCGGAGTGTGCGTGCTGGGTGGTACTTGGATATTAGGTCGGTGATGTAGTTCGGGGCAGTATGGTGGACAGCTTTGTACGTCAGTGTTAGGATTTTGAATTTGATCCGTTGCGCAATCGGAATCCAGTGGAGGGATTGGCAGAGGGGGGTGGCGGAGATGGAGCGGTTGGAAAGGTGAATGAGTCTGGCAGCCGTATTCAGGATCAACTGAAGCGGGGATAGCCAGCGGCGAGGCAGGCCAGTGATGAAAACTATATATTTAAGAATGATATTCTATATAATAAATTTTAATCTATATAATAAAATGTTCAATATAATAAAAATGCTAATCTATATAATAAAGAATGATACTGTATATAATAATAATCTATATAGTATAATATTTTATATAATAAAGAATGATAATCTATACAATAAAATATTCACTATAATAGAAATGGTAACTATATATAATGAAGAATGCAAATCTATACAATAAAGAATGATACTGTATATTGTGTATTCATATTTGGATGTAGGGTGGGTTGTTGGTATATGTTCTCGCATGTTGGCCATCAGTCATTATAGAAAGTCTGGAGTTAGGTCTCATGTACTCAGGCATGTAACACATTGGGGGGTAATTTACTAAATGAGCATCAGAAAGAAAGGTTGGCCACACACCGGAGGAATGATGAATATGCATGCATATAATGTATTGATCCATAAGACACCATCCATGTACATGTCCTGGTGCATTTGGTGTCTTATGGATCAATAAATTATATGCACGCATATTCATCATTCCTCCGGTGTGCGGCCAACCTTTCTTTCTGATGCACATTGCGTGGTGGCGAGCCAGGGCCTGCACCTGCTCCGGTTTGATGCTGATTGTTGCCTGAGCGGTATTCCTCTTGTCTTTTGGTTATTTACTAAGGCTGGAGAGCGCAAAATATGGTGCAGTTCTGCATAGGAACCAATCAGCTTCCAGGTTGTAGGCTAGGTTCACACCTATGCAGTTTACAATTGATCCATTTCTGCAGTGCTTTTTGCAATGCGTTTTTGCACATGTGTTTTTGATGTGGTTTTTTTTTTCTGTTGCTGGGCAGAATAAAACCCACTACATGCTTTTCTGCAGCGTCTCCATTGAAGTCTATAGAACAAAAACGCAACGTTTTGTGTTTTAAAAAGTCCCTGGCCCTTTCCAAAAAAACACAGCGGTTGAAAACGTGTAGATGTGAACCTGTCCCAGAGGAAATCATGTTAAATGGAATGCTGTGCGTTTCTGCAAAATGCAGTGGAAAACGCTGAGGTGTGAACCTAGACTTACCCCCGGTTCACATCTATGCGGCTGTGCGGGCCGCGTTTTGCACGGGCATGAGAGCCCATTCATTTGAATGGACTCCCGTGCCCGTGACACGCAGGGAAGAAGTCCCTGCACTTCTTTGGAAAACGCAGCCCACACGGGAACCTCGGTTGCGTTTTCCAGTGCGGACGGTGTGCCATTAGAAATAATGGCACCCGCCCGCAGGTCCGCATTTCTCTGTGCGGGTGGTGCGGCTGTATGGATGATTTTTGTGCAGATCCGCAGCGGCACCACCCGCACAGATGTGAAAATCAAAAACATCAATCACTCGGTAATCCGATGGTGCCATCATTGATTTAAAAAATTGGCCGACCGAGTCATAAAGTTCACCCCATATAACAGGCGAAACTTCTGTTCCTTCCAGGTCACGGCTCATGCGCATATTCTTTTCGGAAAAATTATCGTACGATTTTACCATCATTGAGTCAAAAATCGGTCGTTTTTCACAAATTTTCCAACATGCTCTATCACCGAAAAGGGGAGGAACCACAAAAATCGTCCGGTGCCATTGACCCCACTAACAGAGCGAAAATCGTCCAATTATTCTTAGCTCTGATTTTCGGCCAAAAACATCGGTCGAATTTCGACCCATGTATGGCCGGCCTTAGAAGCTGATTGGCTGCCATGCACAGCTGCACCAGATTCTGAGGGCTCCAGTTTTAGTAAATCTCCCCCATTGAGTTCAGTTCCATATTTATTTGAATGGTGCAGTATTGTTGGCTAGGGCCCCTTCACACAGCTGTGTATTGGTCAGTATTCTCCTGTGTACTGGTCAGTATTCTCCTGTGTACTGGTCAGTATTCTCCTGTGTATTGGTCAGTATTCTCCTGTGTATTGGTCAGTATTCTCCTGTGTGCTGGTCAGTATTCTCCTGTGTGCTGGTCAGTATTCTCCTGTGTGCTGGTCAGTATTCTCCTGTGTGCTGGTCAGTATTCTCCGGTGTATTGGTCAGTATTTTCCGGTGTATTGGTCAGTATTCTCCGGTGTATTGGTCAGTATTCTCCGGTGTATTGGTCAGTATTCTCCTGTGTACTGGTCAGTATTCTCTTGTGTACTGGTCAGTATTCTCTTGTGTATTGGTCAGTATTCTCCGGTGTATTGATCAGTATTCTCCGGTGTATTGATCAGTATTCTCCTGTGTATTGATCAGTATTCTCCTGTGTATTGATCAGTATTCTCCTGTGTATTGGTCAGTATTCTCCTGTGTATTGGTCAGTATTCTCCTGTGTGCTGCTCAGTATTCTCCGGTGTATTGGTCGGTATTCTCCGTTGTATTGGTCGGTATTCTCCGGTGTATTGGTCGGTATTCTCCGTTGTATTGGTCGGTATTCTCCGGTGTATTGGTCGGTATTCTCCGGTGTATTGGTCGGTATTCTCCGGTGTATTGGTCGGTATTCTCCGGTGTATTGGTCGGTATTCTCCGGTGTATTGGTCGGTATTCTCCGGTGTATTGGTCAGTATTCTCCTGTAGTATTATTCAGCTGCATAAAACTAAAACAGAAAATTCTGTGCTCCGATTGTTTCCGTATTTTTTGCAGTATGTATGTAAGTATCTGTGTTCCATGTGTCACATAGACATGGCTATATGCACCACTGATACCGAGTCATTAGTTTGTATTGTCATTGTTGTTCGGTCCAAATGTAATATGTTTGCATGTTGTGTATGAATACATATCAGGTGGTGATTCCAACTTTACACCTTGAATTGTTTTTGTATTGCAGGAAGCTGTGTGAGGATCACCAGACCAGCTCGCAGCCCAGGAATAGTATGTGTTCACCATCATGGGGGATTATTGGGAGAAGTAGTCACAAAATGTAGCTAAAAGTGGAACTCAACTGTCTCTGTGCAGCACAAACTGAAAACATTGTTTTATTCTTTTTAATATTCAAAGCAAACTTATCCGTCCATGTCTCCATAATTAATTTTGTTGAGAAATCACTTTGAAAAACACCTCCCTAGCAATTCTAGCAGTGGCCATCTCTAGGTAAGGGCAGATGATTCAAGTAGCATTTATTTCCTGGAATCCATCTGTCCTTAGCTAAGGCATGCAGACAGGAGGGTGTGCTTAGCTAAGAAAAAACCCTCCTCCAGGTGAAAGGAAAACAAATGCTCATGAAGACTTCTAGGATGTATGACATCATTTTGGCCTAGGCCAGAAACCAGGAAGCAACTGAAAAAATGTAAAAAAAAAAAAAGTTTAATACAAGTAAATATAATACACCTTCCTGTCTATTTACTAATGCTAGCAATCTCTAGGTAAGTGCAGATGATTCATGTAGCATTTTTTTCCTAGAATGCATCTGTCCTTAGCTAAGGCATGCAGACAGGAGGGTGTGCTTAGCTGAGAAAAACCCCTCCTCCAGATGGAAGGAAAAAAAATGCTCATGAAGACTCCTAGGATGTATGACATCATTTTGGCCTAGGCCAGAAACCAGGAAGCAACTGAAAAAATGTTAAAAAAAAAAAATGAATGATTACATAATTAGAGGGAATGTATCCAGACCAATGGGTTCAGAATCCTATCACCACTTCCGCTCTTGTACCTGTACACCCCCTATGGACCGGAGCAATTGTTACATTTCTGCTATAGGCCTCTGTATCTGGTGATTACATTGTCATTACCTACATTACCTAAGGGGTAACTAAAGGCAAAACATTTTTTTTTTTTAGTTTTGAATGGAATGGAGAGGGATTAGAACCCTTGTCTGGTTTTTATTTCTGGGTCAGAGAGCGCCAAATGAAAAATCCTTAGCAGTCCAATGTTTTGATGGTTGCAACAAGCAGGGCAGAGGAAAATCAGCACATTTCGGAAGCCACACAATCCCCCTTCATTGGGGCTCAATGCACTTAAAAATATGATAAAGCAGAATTACTCCTAAAAATACACATTTATAAAAAGAAAAACAAATAATAATGACGTGTCCAGTGAGGGGGGGAAGCATATTCTCAGAAATAGAGTGCAATACAGCCTGCCTATATAAAACAAGAACAAACAAAGGTACTTCCAGAACAATCACAAAGATCACACAAACATGGACTGCCACCAATCACAAAGATCACACAAACATGGACTGCCACCAATCACAAAGATCACACAAACGTGGACTGCCACCAATCACAGAGATCACACAAACGTGGACTGCCACCAATCACAGAGATCACACAAACATGGACTGCCACCAATCACAGAGATCACACAAACATGGACTGCCACCAATCACAGAGATCACACAAACGTGGACTGCCACCAATCACAGAGATCACACAAACGTGGACTGCCACCAATCGCAAAGATCACACAAACATGGACTGCCACCAATCACAGAGATCACACAAACATGGACTGCCACCAATCACAAAGATCACACAAACATGGACTGCCACCAGTCACAGAGATCACACAAACATGGACTGCCACCAATCACACAATCACAAAGATCACACAAACATGGACTGCCACCAATCACAAAGATCACACAAACATGGACTGCCACCAATCGCAAAGATCACACAAAACATGGACTGCCACCAATCGCAAAGATCACACAAACATGGACTGCCACCAATCACAAAGATCACACAAACATGGACTGCCACCAATCGCAAAGATCACACAAACATGGACTGCCACCAATCGCAAAGATCACACAAACATGGACTGCCACCAATCACAAAGATCACACAGACATGGACTGCAACCAACTGCACTTCTAGCAGTGGAAACATTTGTATCCTTTTGGACAGATTGCATCCCGCCACACACCAGCTTGAGGCATCATTGGTTACATTTTGTTACGCTGTAATCTTTGTTCTTTGTTGCATCTGTTATTTTGTGTCTCTGAGCCCGGGTTCACACTGATGCGGTGCGGAATTTGCAGCGTTTTCTGTGCAAATTCTGCACCCCATCAGAATCTCACCCCGTTCATGCGAACTGCTGCGAGTGTGTACGTTTAACAACTCCCCAAAAGCGATCCGCAAAACGTGGTGTGATGTGCAGAATCGAATCGCGTAGGTGTGAATGCCCATGCAATCCAATTCTAGTGCGGACCAAAAAAAGGGTCCTGCACCTTTTTGGTGTGGATGCAGTGCGATTAAAGCCATACAAAATTAGTGGTGCACCAACATGAAAATTCTGGTGCCGAAACCGAAATTCAAAATGCACTTGGCCAAAAACCGAAATGCGCAGTTTTTAAAAATGAATATATATTTTTGGAAAAAAATACACTGATTAAAAAAAAAACAATATATACCCCACTTTTTTTGTAAAATATGAAAGAGGATGTTTCGGCGAGTAAATAGATACCCAACATGTCACGTTTTAAAATTGCGTACGCTCGTGGAATTGTGTGAAACTGCGGTACTTAAAAATCTCCATGGGTCATGCTTTAAAAAGTTCTACAGGTTAGCAGTGTAATGTTACAGAGGAGGTCTAGTGTGAGAATTATTGCTCTTGCTCTGACATTTGTGGCGATACCTCACGTGTGTGGTTTGGACCCCATTTACATATTTAGGCATGTTCTACTTATGCGTTCACCATAACAGTGTGGCGACGGGGGCACTTTTAAACTTTTAAAAAAAAATTTATTTCATGGATTTTTGGGGTTTTTTTTGCACAGTCCTTTAAAAAAAAAATCACTTTTATTCTTATCACAAGAAATGCATGCTTCCCATGTGATAGAAATAATTAGTGACAGGTTCTCTTTATGGAGAGATATGGGGTCAATAAGACCCCACATCTCTCCTCTGCCATGCAAAGCATTGGATAAAAAAAAAAAACATTGATCTAGAGCTTTAACCACTTGCCTACCAGGCACTTCTACCCCCTTCCTTACCAGGCCAATTTTCAGCTTTCAGCGCTGTCGCACTTTGACAATTGCGCGGTCATGCAAGATTGTACCAATATGAAATTTTTATCATTTTTTTTCTCACAAATAGAGCTTTCTTTTGGTGGTATTTACTCCCCACTGGGCGCTTTACTTTTTGCGCTATAAACAAAAAAATTGCAAAAAATTTGAAAAAAAAAAAAAGTTTGTTTCTATTATAAAATTTTTCAAACAGGTAATTTTTCTCCTTCACTGATGTGCGTTGATGAGGCGGCACTGATTGGCACTGATAGGTAGCACTAATGAGGTGGCACAGATAGGCGGCACTGATAGGCAGCACTAATGAGGTGTCACGGATAGGCGGCACTGATAGGTGGCACTGATAGGCAACACTGATGATGGGTACTGATAGCACTGATAGTTGGCACTGACTGGCATTACTGCTGGGCACTGATTGGCACAACCTCTGGGCACTGACTGGTGGCACTGACTGCAGCACTGCTGGGCTGCACTGATGGGCACAGGTGTGTGGCACTGCTGGGCACAGGTAGGTGGCATTTCTGGGCACAGGTGTGTGACACTGCTGGGCACAGGTAGGTGGCACTGCTGGGCACAGGTGGGCAGAGCTAGTGGGCGCACTGCTGGGCACAGGTGGGCGGAGCTAGTGGGCGCACTGCTGGGCACAGGTGGGTGGAGCTAGTGGGCGCACTGCTGGGCACAGGTAGGCAGAACTTGTGGGAGGCACTGCTGGGCACCGATCATCAGTACCCTGATGATCGGTGCCGATCCCCGCTCTAACAACTGCCGGTTCTCGGCAGTACTTTCCTCATGATCTGACAGCGTGAGGAAAGTGCAGCCGAGAACCGGCAATTGCATTTCCCAGTGATCAGCGTGTCATTGGACACGGCTGATCACGTGGTAAAAGGCCGCTGTGATTGGCCTTTTACCACATCATGTGATCAGCTGTGTCCGTAGGACACAGTGATCACTGAGATCGCCAGGTGCGCGCCGGAGAGTGCGTTCTGGGAGGACGTCATATGACGCCCACCCAGAACTGGTCGGCCACAGTGTAGCCGTCATTCGGCTATCTGCGGTCGGCAAGTAGTTAAAAAAAAAAAAAATGCCTGGAACCGGAAGTGACATTGCTCTAGTCCTCCAAGGGCATAGAGAGTGCCGGCCATCTTTCCTTCGCTAAGCTCTATGCCCAGCGCTGGGATCATTCGATGGTTTCTCAGGTAAGGCTGAGAACTAGCAAGCAGCGGTGGCGAGGGGCGGCTAGGAGCGGGGTTTTTTCAGCACCTGTATCGATGCTTTTTCTCATTTCGGCTGACGGCCGAAAGGGCTGTTTTCTGCCAAAACATTTCGGCCACCGAAATTTTGGTGCATCCCAAAATGTACGGCTCCAATCGCACCGCATAGAATTCACATGTGATTTGTACAGGAATACAGTGTGAATCACATGTGATGTACCGCACTGCATATATGTGAACCCGGGTTCAAGGAAGTCAGCAGCATCTGAATGACCCAACACCTCTATGTACATACAGTTCAAACTGTGGTTTTGTTTTTTGTTTTTTTGTTATTTCTCATCAGTAACAATCTGTGGTTTTTAGTGTGAAACGTGGCTTCCCCACTGGGCCATTTCTTACATTTCACCCAAAAAAATCTATTTTTTTTTTTTTTTCTAGAAAATTTCTTAGATCCCCAAAACATTTATACATTTTCTAAAAGCAGAGGCCCTGGAGAATAAAATGACGGTTTTTGCACAGAATATGCGCAGTGGTTTATCAAACACACATTTTCAGGAAAAAAAAACTTTCATGACTTGTAGTGAATACAAACACAAAATAGTATCCTTTTTTTTTGTGTGTAAAATATAAAAGATTATGTTGCATCAAGTAAAGAGATACCAGATATGTCACACATGCCCGTGGAATGGTGACAAACTATGGTACAGGCCCTTTCGCACCCTGTAAAAGTGATCAGGCAGCTGCAAAGCCACTTGGGTTACTTCTGTAGGAAAGCCCATCACCACCTGCACATTTTGATACCAGGATCATGGCTTACTTCACAGTGCCTGCAGCTACAGGTGTCAGTGAAGGCTTGTTAAAATGTAAAATATTTGAATGTCCATAACTTAGCCACAGATCAGTCATTCATTTACATTTGTTAGAACCTGAATCTACACTCCTAAAGTTACCTTGTGCCTACCCATGGTCTTTTTTCAGACTGTTTCTGCAGATACAGAAATTTTTCTTTTAATACTGGTTCTGCAAACATTTTAGTGTGCTTGGAACTTCTTGTGCGCTAAAATTAAATCTTAAAGTGTTGCTAAACCCACAACAGTGCAATCAGTCTGTAGATGCAGTAAAGCATGCTTGTTATACTCACTGTGGATCCTAAGGGGTTAATCCTCTGCATTGTGTAAAAAGGCTGTTTGATCCTGGCCTCTCTGTTCCTCCCCTTTTTTAAACAACCACTTCTTATATCCTGATAAGACAGACTGAACCGTAGGCATTTGCACATGCTCAGTTTGGTGTGTATTGCTAGAGAGGTTTTGTTTTTCTTGGGAGAGTGCATGTGATCAGCACAGGGCCAATCAGCACTGTCCAGACAGAGGTCAGGGGTTCTGCATCCTCCTAGAGCAAAAAGAAAACTCCTCCTACAAGTGCTTGGCTGAACACTGATAGAAATCACAAGACTGCTCTAACTGCTGATGAGAAAAGGTGTTTAGCAGTTTATATTTACTAAAATAATTGCACTTCCATGTTCTGTGTACTGTGGGAGACCAGATATAGTGAATGCAGGGTCCGGGGAGACCAGATATAGTGAATGCAGGGCACTGGGAGACCAGATATAGTGAATGCAGGGTCCGGGGAGACCAGATATAGTGAATGCAGGGTCCGTGGAGACCGGATATAGTGAATGCAGGGTCCGGGGAGACCAGATATAGTGAATGCAGGGTCCGGGGAGACTAGATATAGTGAATGCAGGGTACTGGGAGACCAGATATAGTGAATGCAGGGTCCTGGGGAGACCAGATATAGTGAATGCAGGGTACTGGGAGACCAGATATAGTGAATGCAGGGTACTGGGAGACCAGATATAGTGAATGCAGGGTCCGGGGAGACCAGATATAGTGAATGCAGGGTCCGGGGAGACCAGATATAGTGAATGCAGGGTCCGGGGAGACCAGATATAGTGAATGCAGGGTCCGGGGAGACCAGATATAGTGAATGCAGGGTCCGGGGAGACCAGATATAATAAATGCAGGGTCCGGGGAGAGCGGATATAGTGAATGCAGGGTCCTGGGAGACCGGATATAGTGAATGCAGGGTCCGGGGAGACCGGATATAGTGAATGCAGGGTCCTGGGAGACCGGATATAGTGAATGCAGGGTCCTAGGTTTAGTAATACTTTAAAAAAATGTTATCAACCTTCCCAGTTCTCCTCTGTGGACTACTGAACACCTCCCCCATGTTAGGTCCCATTCACACCTAAGCATAGCATTTTTGTGCGTTTTGTTGCACATTTTTTATGCGATTTGTTCAGGTGTTTTCGGGCTTTTAGATTTTTGGCATTTTTGTATTCGCCAATAGAGAAAAATTTTAATCTGTGACATCATTTGTTGCCATGTTTTGCCACGCCAGAAAAATGCTCTTGGTCGCGCAAGAAAACGCGCAAAAGTGCATGAAAGGGTGCGATTTGCGTGTCTCCATGTAATTCTATGGGAATGAAAACGTGCCAAAAATACATCAGTCTGCCCAAATGGACCTACAAAAGTAGCTCTAAAGCTTTTTTGAGCTTCAGCTGTTCTGCTTCAGGCGACTTGGAGTGGCGATGTAAACCATCTCCATAGAGTAATATTGATTTTTTTTTCTTCCTGAGTGTTTTAGAGCTTTGAGCTTCGTGCTACAAATCCCTCAGGTGTGAATGGGGCCTTAAGGAAGCGGGAGGTGTTTTGTAGTCCTAATATATCTTTTGTATAGTTTAGTATAGCAACCCTGCTACTCCATAGATACAGTACTGTAAGTGCTGTCACCCTTGGATAGGAAGTGTGTCATTTGCAGGATCACCAGGTGAAAATAAAGGAAAAAAGGACTGAAATAAGAAAACGAATGCAGCCGCCACATTTCCAGACTGGTAATCTGCAATATTTACAATGTTTGTTGTTGGATATCGGTAAATTTAAAGTCGGTATAGCAATGTAAGCTACTGTCAGACGAGTGATAAGTAACCGAAGCCCATCTGTTTTGTCAGCAGGACAGAGAGGCTGTGTGAACAATCTGCTCAGTTTGGTGACATGGTACTGTGGGCACAAGACCCACTGCCCTCACGAACCTGGCCTAGCGGAGCTCAGTGCTAGTGACGTTTTATATACCACGGCGGTGTGGCAGTGCCAGGCAGGACACCACTTTTACCAGGAATTGCAATGTCCTTTGAAGGTCCTAAACCAAATGGGTAAGCTGGACTTTATCTGCGACCATCATTTAAATGTGATATGTTGGAGAATGACGTGTGTGGCAACCCAAAGACACACCATGATGGTGTTAAAAGAGACACGTGCTCAAATGTTGAAGTACAGTTCTGTTAGCTTTATTAAAGCGGAGTTCCACGTAAAAAAAAAAAAAAAAAAAAGTCAGCAGCTACAAAAACTATACAAACAAAAACTTAAAATACAGCCACTTACCTGTCCCACGGTCCAGCGGTGTCCTCTCCCTGGTGCCGGCATCTTCAGTGTGGGGCCCCCGGCTGTGACCGCTTGCGGCTTCACAGCTGGCTGCCCACTGCGCATGTGTGAGAAGCGCTGCACTTTGTGAATGGCCCCGTAGTCTTCTGGGATCTGTCCTGTGTCCCAGAAGACTACGGGGAATGAGGGAGGGAGGAAGGACAACTTCCGCTTCTGATCGCCTAGGTGATCGCAGCGGAAGTGGGAGCGGTTACCTGTCAAATTTCGGGTACCCGCTCCCCAAAGGTGCCAAGCCTTAATGGGGAGCGGGGGACAAAGGCTTAAAGCGGAATGTCTCCTTTTGGGTGGAGCTCCGCTTTAAGGAAGAACCATGAATATGTTTTTTCACTGTTCTGTTCTTTATGGGACTAAAGCCCCGTACACACGATAAGAAAATCTTAAGGAAAATTTCACGGAGCCACTGATCGAACGATTTTCTCTTCATTGATGAGCAGGATGTTTTAACTGATAACGATATTGTGAACGAAAAAAACCACAGTGAAAAATTTTGTCGTTTCGCATTTCACTGTCATAACTGATTTTCTATGCGGTGGTATGACAGTCGTACGAAAAAAAATCTATCAAGCGCTATCACGCATGAGCGGAAACAGAAGATGACCCGGATGTTTATGTCCAAGGAATCTTTGTAAACACGAACGAAAAAATCCAAATGTTAAAAATAGATTGGCCTAATGAGATCATGAAACCAGAATTCTGCAGATGATATTTTATGTATCACTATTTATGTATACAGGTCATGGAATAAAAGATATTATACTCATTGCTGGGAATTGTTGTGTATATCGCTCGTTCTGGCCGGAAGGGCGTGGCTACAAGGTCACACGCACACCGCATCACTTCCACTTGTACGGAAGACGTCAGCACTACGTATTGCCCAACGAACGATTTTTTTAGATTGGTTAATGTGGGCCACGATTTCGACCAACGAATTAACGGCTCTCGGGCGTCCGATGACTGATCGGTCGATTTTCTAATCGTGTATTCCCACCTTAAGTAATTGTAGCACTTTATCCCATGTTGCTAGGTGCGTCCTAATCCTAGCTAAGAGGTTGGATTTGTACCACCATTATCACAGCCAGTCCAACAACATAGCTTGGAAAGAGATGGGCGCCTTATAATGGCTGCTCGTCGTGGCTTCAAGCACTTTCCTGGTACTGCAGGTTGTGGCAGGAGGAATACAGAAGGATGGGGTGTGTCAGCCTCCTGTCCCTCTGCATTCCTCCTGCTGCCACTTGACTGGGGAAGGTGCTCGGAGCCAAGACAGGCAGCCGTTATGGAGTTCCCATGTCTTTCCTAGCTATGTTGTCGGACCAGCCACATAGGGTGGGTAGGGGGGTGCAGTCTCATATATTGGCTTTAGGAAGCACTTAGCAACACGGGACAAAATAATACCCAATTTAAAATGGTATTAAATGTAATAGTGAAAGAACTGCTTACAGGCAGGGTTTCTGTAATAGAAGAGACCCTAGTGGTCTCTTCTGGTATAAATTCCTCCCCCATCCTGTCAGCAGTCATGTAGTCTGAGCCACGCATGCGCATGCTCCGCTCAGACTGCATTTACAACCCTCTTGGTGTGCCATGTTGAAATGACTCCCGTGCTTGGGAGTGACGTCACCATGGCGTGGCTATTTATGCTGACGGAGAGCATGAACCCAGTAGGTAGACCAAGCAAAGATGGAAGCTGCTGTGACCTGTGGAGCGGTGACAGCACAGTGCTGGAGGGCTGCGTTTGACAGGTAAGTCTGCCATAATATATGCTGTCGATACCAGCACAGTATGGCATATACCTGCAGAGGGGCCATTTTTTATATTTTTGTGTATGTTTTTACTACTGCTGTAATGATCTTTCTTCAAGAGTAGTAGAAGGGGTGAAATCCTTTCATGAAGAAAAATTATCATCTATGCTGTCTCCAGTCATGGTCGCATCTGATGCCCTAAGTCAGGGGTGTCAAAATGGTGGCCCTCCAGCTGTTGTGAAACTACAAGTCCCATCATGCCTCTATCTTTGGGAGTCATGCTTGTAACTGTCAATCTTGCAATGCCTCCTGGGACCTGTAGTTTGGCAACAGCTGGAGGGCCGCCAGTTTGACACCTGTGCCCTAAGGTGTCTGGTCTTGTGATATTTGTTGAACGTAAAGGATGAGCAGGGACCAGATGAATTACGATGCGTGTATGGGCAGGGGGGTTGTACGGAAGTCAGTCTACTGATTGACTTCTGTACGACCAGCCTGTCAGATTTTATCCTTTTGATCAGTGCCACCGGCTATAGCTAGCAGCACTGATCAGTGTATTCTGACAGCAGGGATGTTTTCCTGCCGTCAGAATACAAAGGTTCAGTGGGCAAGAATTGTGTGGATTGTGTGGATCCACACTGTGTGGATGGGGAAATAGAGTCATGTTTTTTTTTTTATTCAACTGGCCGGTTGAATGAAAAAAAAATAAAGTGGAGGAAGTTGGGAAAAAGAATCCTTGCTGGGATTTTACTGCTTTCCACCAGGGCTCCAATAGAGATAATTTATGTTCAACAATTTCATCAGCCAGAAAGCAAGGGTCAATCTCCAACTGCAGCAAAATATAGAAATGAAATGTTTTTTTTTTTACTAGTAGAGTAGAGGCAGGCTAGAATCCTTGTGGGCTTACTATTGCCGTCTGTGTTCCAGATTTTTCTGCCACTTCCTGTCTGGGGAATCTGTTATCAGTAGAACAACAATAAATCCCCCAGACAGGACATGAGAGGGAAATCTCACCCTTAAAGCAGAGCTCCACCCAATGGGGGAAGTTCCGCTTTAAGGACTGCTCCCCCGCTCCCCATTAAGGATTGACATCTTTGGGGGGCGGGGGTACCCGAATTTGACAGGTACCTGCTCCCACTTCCGGTCCGATCGCCTAGGCGATCAGAAGCGGAAGGTGTCCTCCCTCCCTGTAGTCTTTTGGGGCATGTGACAGGTCCCAGAAGACTACAGGACCATTCATGAAGTGCAGCGTTTCTCGCACATGTGCAGTGGGTACCCGGCTGTGAAGCCGCAAGCTGTCACAGCTGGGTGCCAACACTGAAGATGCCGGCCTCCTGGAATACAGGACGGCCGGTGAAACGGGCTGCGGGGGACACACCACGGGACCGAGGGACAGGTAAGTGGGTGTTTTTTAAAAGTCAGCAGCTAAAGTTTTTGTAGCACCTGACTTTTATTTTTTTGACCGGTGAGTGGAACTCCACTTTAAGTCCTCATGCACACGGGACGTTTTAATAACTCTGGTAATATTAGCAGTGTAAGGTCATGTTAAAAATGTGAGTGGTTTTTTTGTGTTTTTTTGCATTAGCGTTTAGCGCCGTTTATCCGCGTTTTACAGTTTTTAGCGGTATAATTTTTTTGGTCAAAAAAAAGTCCAAAAACGCCCATTTGCGGCGTTTTGCCGCGTTTTTCAGCATTAGAGCGTTTTTACAGCTAAAAAACTCCTGTAGATACCCACTGGTCCTGGGTTTTTTTTCCAGCCAAAAAACATTGATTACAGTCTGTGTGTATGGACACGTAGGATGAGATGCCGGGGATGGACACGTAGGATAACATGCCGGGGATGGACACGTAGGATGAGATGCCGGGGATGGACACGTAGGATGACGTGCCGGGGATGGACACGTAGGATAACATGCCGGGGATGGACACGTAGGATGAGATGCCGGGGATGGACACGTAGGATAACATGCCGGGGATGGACACGTAGGATGAGATGCCGGGGATGGACACGTAGGATGACGTGCCGGGGATGGACACGTAGGATAACATGCCGGGGATGGACACGTAGGATGACATGCCGGGGATGGACACGTAGGATAACATGCCGGGGATGGACACGTAGGATGACATGCCAGGGATGGACACGTAGGATGACATGCCGGGGATGGACACGTAGGATAACACGCCGGGGATGGACACGTAGGATGACATGCCGGGGATGGACACGTAGGATAACACGCCGGGGATGGACACGTAGGATAACACGCCGGGGATGGACACGTAGGAGAACACGCCGGGGATGGACACGTAGGAGAACACGCCGGGGATGGACACGTAGGATAACACGCCGGGGATGGACACGTAGGATAACACGCCGGGGATGGACACGTAGGATAACACGCCGGGGATGGACACGTAGGATAACACGCCGGGGATGGACACGTAGGATAGCACGCCGGGGATGGACACGTAGGATGACATGCCGGGGATGGACACGTAGGATAACACGCCGGGGATGGACACGTAGGATGACACGGATAGGATGACACGCCGGGGATGGACACGTAGGATAACACGCCGGGGATGGACACGTAGGATAACACGCCGGGGATGGACACGTAGGAGAAACACGCCGGGGATGGACACGTAGGAGAACACGCCGGGGATGGACACGTAGGAGAACACGCCGGGGATGGACACGTAGGAGAACACGCCGGGGATGGACACGTAGGAGAACACGCCGGGGATGGACACGTAGGAGAACACGCCGGGGATGGACACGTAGGATAACACGCCGGGGATGGACACGTAGGATAACACGCCGGGGATGGACACGTAGGATAACACGCCGGGGATGAACACGTAGGATAACACGCCGGGGATGGACACGTAGGATAACACGCCGGGGATGGACACGTAGGATAGCACGCCGGGGATGAACACATAGGATAACACGCCGGGGATGAACACATAGGATAAACATGCCGGGGTGTTTTCTGGCTGTAGAAAAAAACATCAAAAGCCAAAAACAGCCGCTGTAAAAACGTCCCGTGTGCGTGAGGACTAAAAGTGAGGGAAACTCTCTCTACCAGAATTCTGAAAAGCAGTAATTCTGACGGGCAGGGCTGCATTTAGAAATCATGGGGCCCCGTAAAGTCTACCTCTCTTCTTCAGCTGGGAAAATACTTCTACTTTCGGGTGGATGTCATATCACCTGATTGTTCTGGCTTCTTTTCAGTTGCGGCACACTGCAGGTCGCCAGCGGCGGAACCTGGGTCTTCTCTGAGTGATTGTACCTGGTGCGGATCGCTTCTCTCACCCTAGGTTCACACCTGTGCTGGTGAAGCCGCTGCGGATCCGCATGAAAATCTGTGCAGCCGCACCACCCGCACAGAGAAATGCGGACCCGCAGGCGGGGGCCATTAATTCTAATGGCACGCAGCCCGCACTGGAAAACGCAACTGTACTGGGAACTGAGGTTCCTGTGCGGGCTACGTTTTCCAAAGAACTGCAGGGACTTCTCTGCACGTCACGGGCATGGGAGTCCCATTCAAATGAATGGACTCTTGTGCCAGCGCAAAACGCGTCCCGCACGGGCGCATAGATGTGAACGGGGGGTGAAGGAACTCCGCTGGAACATGGGCAGCTCTTGCCAGGCCCAGTATTGAATTAGCGCCAGTCAGAGGCCAGATTACAGTACCATTGCTTTAGTGGGAGCAGGAGGGTGAAAACCGGAACCGTCACATTTGAAAACTGACCTCTGGGCACAAAAACTTTCATTGAAATACATTCCTCAATTGCCAACAGGATATAGATCTACTTTGTGTGCAGCAAATGTCGCTGCAAACCAGCTATTACCTTGTTAAAGTGGCAGCACCATCATCACTGTGCTGTACTTAGCCTGTGCTGAGAGTGGAGCTGTGGGAGGGACCCCACAAGCTCAACCTATTACAGGCTGCCAGCAGAAAACGACAGGAGGGGGCGGAGACGAGACCTGTCACCCTACACAAGGAAAGTGAGCAGCAGTAAGCGGTCTTTATTACAGGAAGCTCCTGCATAGGGAGGCTTTCATATGTACAAGTTACTTATTTTCAGCTTTCAACACCGGCACTTCTGTACCTTCTTATTATTTAAAACACAAAAGTGTTCAGAACCTTTCAATATGCACATTTACTGCAGTATTTATTCTGACCGCATTTCTTTGGTTCAACATTCACAGGGTATGAAGATGGAGCTGAGCCAGATGACTCCTCCTCCAGGTCCACCCCCCCGAGCCAGTCTACAGGACCGTGCCAGAACTCGGAGCAGCCGCTTCACGCTTTGTACCCTCAGCCTTCAGAGAACGTGACAGAGGGGGAGGCTGCATGCACAGAGGATACAGAGACAGTAGTGTGTGTCCCCATGGGGCCCACAGCCAGAGGACTTTTTGAAGGAGTGACTCAGGAAGCTCTGGGGCAGGTGGTGGCTGCTGGCTGCCCCTCGCAAGTCATCATCATTGCCGGACCTGGATATGAGGCATTGGCAGCAGAGGGGATCCAGCTGGACATGGCGGATGGGAGCAGTGAAGAGGAGGGCACAGCACTTGAGGCCGTGTCTGCATTCACACAGACAGAGACTGAAGAACAAGAAGAGGAGCAGAGTGGTGCCTTGACCATGACAGGTAGTCTGCGGGATCAAATATATATAGGTCATAGGTAAAGAGGCCACAGGTAAAGAGGCCACAGGTAAAGGGGCCACAGGTAAAGGGGCCACAGGTAAAGGGGCCACAGGTATAGGGGCCACAGGTAAAGAGGCCACAGGTATAGGGGCCAAAGGGAAAGGGGCCACAGGTAAAGAGGTCACACCCAAGTCTTATAGAGATTAACAGTCTGTTTGGGATCAGAAGCACAAGACAACCACAACACCCCTCTCCTTAACCTCTTCATGACGAAGGTAAAACAAACGCCCGAACACAAATTTACAACTTTGACATGTGTTAGTAAAACTGTACACATCATCGCAACTACTTTGTATATCCAAGTGGATTATATTGCATTTTTTTTTTCTTCAGGACAAATTGGGCTTTCATTTGGTGGAAGTTGTAACGGATTTCTCCTGATTTTATTTTTTTTTAGCAAAGGAAAACTATCCTGAAATAGTAAAAAAAAAATTAGATTTTTTGAATTTGGTTGGATAGTTCTTGCTATTACCATAACCTACCACCAAAGAACAACCCAAAATAAATTCTCCTTCTCTTGACGGCCACGGTGATACCACATGTGTGTGCTATTTGTTGTATGTGCTCGAAGTAGGGCTCAGAAGCAATGGTGCAAATTTTGCTTTTTCACCAAAAACACACTGACACTGATACTAATTTAAAAAGTGCCTTTTTTTAAAAAAAAAAAAAAATCCTAACTAAACTATAAAGACCCTGACCTATGACCCCAACACTAACCCTAACACTGACCTTGACCAAACCTTGATCTAGCTATTTCTTTTTTATTTATTTATTTTTACGCACGCTTGTTTAATTATATTTTTCTCCCCTGACAAGGAAAGAAAGATACAATCTTTCTCCAAAATACGGGTTGTACAATGACCACTGTGATAGCCAGTCAGAGGCTATCATAGTGATCATGTGATTGGGAACCGAGAAGCCTGATTCCCAATCGTTAATATGAAACCCGGGACTCTTGGTGAGAGCCCGATCTCTGTGCTAGGAGCACATTCCCAGCACAAAGGCATTCATATATGTGGCCCCACAGAAGAAGAGCCACTTCAGTGAGGCCACATCTACAGTCAGCAACAAGGGGTTAAAATACGTCCAATCAGAGGCTACCATAGTGATCAGGTGATTGGGAACCGGGAATCTTGGTTCTCAGTCGTTAGTACGAAACGCGGACTGTTGGTGAGAGCCCGATCTCTGTGCTAGGAGCACAGTCCCAGCACAAACAAAGGCATTCGTATATGTGGCCCCTAAGAAGAAGACTCCCTTCAGTGAGGCCACATCTACAGTCAGCGGCAAGGGGTTAAAATACGTCCAATCGGAGGCTATCATAGTGATCAGGTGATTGGGAACCGGGAATCTTGGTTCTCAGTCGTTAGTACGAAACGCGGACTGTTGGTGAGAGCCCGATCTCTGTGCTAGGCGCACAGTCCCAGCACAAACAAAGGCATTCATATATGTGGCCCCTAAGAAGAAGACTACCTTCAGTGAGGCCACATCTACAGTCAGCGGCAATGGGTTACAATACGTCCATGCTCCGAGGACTCTCTCATAAACGGGAAAAGTGAAAGTCCTCAGCACAGAATATTGAGTTGAAGCTCCACCCAGGAGCACATGTGAGAGCTTGCCATATGAAAGCTGCAATCAGTTATATAAAAGCCAGAGGTAAACTGAGAGACATATTGACTTAAAGTGGATATTTCAGCAACTTTAAGTCTGCTTAAATAAATTCCTGACATGTCGTGTATATATATACCCTGTTCCACAATATTATGCAAATGCTATTTTTCTAATTTCCCTAAATAATTGATGTAAATAACAGTCAGCATAATTCTCATCTTACCAACTATAAGAGTACAATTCACATTTTATTGCAAAAACCTCCTAATGATAACAGGATTTTTGTTCCAAATTATTCCGCACAGTAAGTTTCAAAACACTTTATAGGTTGTAAAGAACTGAAAATTGTCATTTGTTGTGTTTGCAGCATATTTACTGAAATCAAAAGCTATTTCAATCAAACTTTTAACAACATTTTCACTTTTTAAACATTTGAACAGGTGACGTTACATTGTAACATAGGACCCCTTATTTGATAGCAGCTTCACAAGTCTTTCATCCATTGAACTTGTGAGTTTTTGGACAGTTTCTGCTTGAATTTGTTTGCAAGATGTCAGAATAGCCTCCCAGAGCTGCTGTTTGGATGTAAACTGCCTCCCACCCTCATAGATCTTTTGCTTGAGGATGCTCCTAAAGTTCTCAATAGGATTGAGGTCAGGGGAGGATGGAGGCCACACCATGACTCTCTCTCCTTTTATCCCCATAGCAGCCATTGATGCAGAGGTATTCTTTGCAGCATGAGATGGTGCATTGTCATGCATGAAGATGATTTTATTACGGAAAGCATAGTTCTTCCTTCTGTACCAGGGAAGAAAGTGGTCAGTCATAAACTCCACATACTTTGCAGAGGTCATCTTTACACCTTCGGGGACCCTAAAGGGGCCAACCAGCTCTGTTCCCCTGATTCCGGCCCAAAACATGACTCCACCACCGCCTTGCTGACGTTGCAGCCTTGTTGGAACAGGGTGGCCGTCCACCAACCATCCACTACTCCATCCATCTGGACCATCCAGGGTTGCACGGCACTCATCAGTGAACAGGACTGTTTGAAAATTAGTCTTCATGTATTTTTCTGCCCAATGCAGCCGATTCTGCTTGTGAGCATTGGTTAGTGGTGGCCGAATAGAAGGTTTATGCACAGTTGCAGGACTCTGGAGGACTCTACACCTTGATGTCTATGGGACTACAGAGGCACCGGCAGCTTCAAATATCTGTTTGCTGCTATGTAATGGTATTTTAGCAGCTGCTCTCTTGATCCGATGCATGGATCTGGCAGAAATCTTCCTCAATGTGCCTTTATCTGCACAAACCCATCTGTGCTCTGAATCAGCCACAAATCTCTTCATAGTGCGATGATCACGCTTACGTTTTCGTGAAATATCTAATGTTTTCATACCTCGTCCAAGGCATTGAACTATTTCACTCTTTTCGGCAGCAGAGAGATCCTTTTTCTCCCCCATATTGCTTGAAAATGGTGCTCTGCTTAATAATGTGGAACACCCTCCTTTAGTAGTTTTTCCTTAAATTGGGCTCACCAGCCAATCTAATTATCACAGGTGTCCGAGATTGTTTTAAGTGATCAAAAGAGCCCTGACACACAATGCCATCCATGAGTTACACTGAAAAACAAAATATTTAATCTTTGTGATACTTAAATAGAATTTGCATAATAATTTGGAACAGGGTGTAGTGACACTATTATTTATCTTTAGATTCAGCCTAAAGAGTCTGTTGCAGACAAGAGGAAGCATTTCCCCAGTCTCTCTCCCCTAGTGATCAGACTGTACATTTTAAACAAATAACAAGTGGGGATGAGCTTAGGAGTGTTTGGATCCTAGTTTGAAACCCACCTGATCAAGCCCACCAGGAAGAGCTCACCTTTACTGGGCCAATCATAAGTGGCCAAGGCATTCCCAACCCTGGAGCCACACATTATTTGTCCCTTGTATATGTGTGGTTTGGTGGGAAATGGGATAATGTCAGGGCTGCAGATGCACCAGCACCAGGGTTTACAGCAGCCTTTCTCAACCAGGGTGCCTTGAGGTTTCTTCAGCGGTGCCTTGGCAAAATATCTTAAAATTGCCCAAAACTTGTATACAAGCCAGCGGGTGGAACAAGCCTTCCTTTTAGTTATACAAAGCCACAGGTTATCATTGTGCACCATTACGACCTTCTAGCCACCGGCGTCCTGACAACCAATGACATCAGTTGATAAGGAGGATGTCAGCTGCCTGCACAGCATCATTGTTTGACCCTCCCCCGCCCCTCTCCATCAGTGCTGGGGTCACATTAGTGATGGAGAAAAACTGGGGGAGAGGCGAAACACTGGAATACTAGTCAGTACCAGTGTGGAAAAGTGTATTTGCTTTGGAAGAATAAATCACCTCTAATGTTGGGTGTCCTACATGTGTGTGGATGTTGCTGTGTTTATATAGAACTATTAGAATAGTTTTTCACATTTTAGAATGGGGTGCCTCAGGACTGTCCATAATTTTAAAGGGTGCCTCGGGATTGTCCAAAATTTTAGAGGGTACCTCGGGACTGTCCATAATTTTAAAGGGTGCCTCGGGACTGTCCATAATTTTAAAGGGTGCCTCGGGATTGTCCATAATTTTAAAGGGTGCCTCGGGACTGTCCATAATTTTAAAGGGTGCCTCGGGACTGTCCATAATTTTAGAGGGTGCCTCGGAACTGTCCATAGTTTTAGAGGGTGCCTCGGGTCTGTCCATAATTTTAGAGGGTACCTCGAGAATGGCCATAATTTTAAAGGGTGCCTCGGGACTGTCCATAATTTTAAAGGGTGCCTTGACTGAAAAAAGGTTGAGAAACACTGGTTTACATGATTGTGCCATCTCTGAGCCAGTATCTCGGTCCAGGAAGTAGATGCTGAACCTGGATGATGCCTGAACAAAGATGGCTCCATGTTTCTGGTGAGAAATTTTCAATCATTTTCAGGAAACACGGTGATCTGTGAAAGGTAATAAATTCCTGAGAGAGTTCTACTTATGCACTAAGTGTGAAATAAATATATCTGATGCTAGCACTTGCTGCCCAGATTGGCATAGCAATTCATTTGGTATCAGGAGTTGATTTCCCTTCATACTCAATAAAATGCAGACGTGTGGTGTAGCATGTTCTTGTACCACATGGTGACGGTGACACAGTATGTAACCTACAAGGTTGACCTTGTCCCTCTGTACTTTATCCTAGACGAGGACACACTATACACCCTGCAAGAGGAACCTGAGGAATGCGAAGTTCCCAGACTGGTGCTCAGTTCTCAGTTACCTGATGCGGACTCCATGGAGGAACCATCTGGACCAGGACCTGTGCTTAGCTTGGACTGTCAGGCAGAGAACACAGCGCAAGTTTCTAAAGAGCCTGAGAAGTGAGTACCAGCATCACCCCTCTGTCGTAGTATGCGGGTCAAATGATATCTAGCACCACTAGGCATAGATACATTTATTCCTGCATTCCCTAAGGCCCCGTTCACAACTGACGTTTTGTTGTCTCGGGCAGAATCATTGTGATTCTGCCCTCCAGGGCTTGAAATTTCCACTCGCCTGCTCGCATTTGCCGAGTGAAAATAACATGGGGGTGAGTGTGTCCCAGGCGCCGCATCGGAGGGTGGGGGGTGGGTGCTACCAGCAGCACCAACCTGCCCCGAGCACTATGTTGAGGGGGGGCGCACTGCTGGTGCCACTCCTCAGTGACCGGAGTGATCGCAGTTTCACTCCTGTCACAGGGAGCAGCTGCTGACACTTGCTGGAGGGAGGACTAGACTTTCTCCTCCCTCCTGCCTGCAGGGGGCAATAGACAGCCGGCACTAAGGAGTGAAGGTAGAGTGTCCTTCCTGTCTCCCCTTGTCATGTGACTTATCACATGACCGAAGGAGGGAAAGAAGGAGAAGCTGCATTCACAAGAAGATCTGTGAGTACAAGGGGGAAGGGCGAGGTTACACTTCTGGGGACAGCTGATGTAATCGGGGGCTCTGATGGGAACACCTTATATAAAGGGGGACTCTGATGGGAACACCTTATATAAAGGGGGACTCTGATGGGGACACCTGATGTAAAGGGGGGCTCTGACGGGAACACCTTATATAAAGGGGGACTCTGATGGGGACACCTGATGTAAAGGGAGGCTCTGATGGGAGCACCTTATATAAAGGGAGGCTCTGATGGGGACACCTTATATAAAGGGGGACTCTGATGGGGACACCTGATGTAAAGGGGGACTCTGATGGGGACACCTGATGTAAAGGGGACTCTGATGGGGACACCTGATGTAAAGGGGGACTCTGATGGGGACACCTGATGTAAAGGAGGACTCTGATGGGGACACTTATTTTCAATTTATGTTAACCACTTGCTCTCTTCACTCCATTAACCTCTTCACGCCGGCCGAACGCAAATGTGCGGCCTCCCGGTGTCTGGGCCCAGACGCCGAGTGGCCACACATTTGCATTCTATTAAAAAAGGACATAGGTGCCGAGAGCGCGCGCCCTGCATGCTCCCAGCACACATGTCCGGTACTCACGGAAAGGTCCCAATCTCCTCTTTCGATCGGGATCTTTCCGGATCATGTGACCACCATGATGGCGCGTCACATGACCCTAAACCCCGCCCTGCCTCCTGGCTTCTGGAACTCTTAATGGGCCAGGAGGCACCGGCGTGAAGGGGTTAAGCTATTGCTGTTATGTTTAAATTGACATAATAAAGCTATGTTATAATTGCTGTTTTTTATATTTTGGACTCTTTATTCTAAAGAAAAAATTAATTTCATAAGCTTTAAGGGGGCGTGGTTGGGGGCAGGGCTGGGAGTGGGGTTGGGGGACGAGCCTGGGATGGGGTTGGAGGCGGACCTGGGCAAGGTTGGGTGGGGCAACTGGTGAAGAGTAAGGTTTTTGCCTGGCTAGTAGGTCTAGACTTGAAATTTTAAGCCCTGCTGCCCTCGATCCCAAATCGCTCTGTAATAAAGACAAAACGCACCATGCCTGTTCAGGTTGCAGCACAGCGCTCTGGACTGAAGACACATTCGGTGTTCCCTCAATACAGGGCGCAGTGTGCATTCGTTGGTGATGTCACCGGCTGCACAAATGATGAATATCTCCTAAACAGTGCACGTTTCGAAGATCTTCATTTTACCTACAGGTATGCTTTAGTATGTTTACTACCAATTCACCTGTCCCCGCCCATTGACTTGTGTGTCTTGTGGTGACATAGGAGCCGGCGGGAGAAACCACAGCTTGTGGAAGCGGAGCGTGTATTCCGAATACCTGAAAGTGAAGTTGCAGTGTTTCAACAAGTACTTAACCACCTCCCATCCGGCCCATGTATATAAACGGCCGGACGGTGGCAGTGCAGGGTCAGGTGGCTGTTTATAAACGGCCTCTCTGCACCCTGCTTGTTCGCGCTCCCTGGGAGCGCACTGCACTGCAATCCGGTGCCTGCTGTATCCTCCGGACACAGTGGACCACCGATCGTCGTGCGGGACCTCTGTGCGAGGTCCCGATCATGTGATCACTGATTGGCTAATCAGTGATCACATGCAGAGTAGTAAGCAAGATGTCACTTCTGACATCATTGCTTACTACGTGTGAAATCTGAATGATCACAGAGGTCACATGGTACAATGCTAGTCACAACAGCCTTGTACCATGTGACAAGCTGTGACCAATCACAGCTCTCACAGTAATTCTCAATGACTGCAAGAATGCAGCCAGAGAGAAGGAGAAATGATTGATTTTACAGCCTTTATGGGTGTAAAAGCAATCACTGTAAAAAAAAAAAAAAAGAAAATAATCTTCATCACCCCCCACAAGTAGTACAGTGTCACCATGGTGACATTGTACTGCTAGGGTGACAGTATGTAAAAAAAAAAAAAAAAAAAACATTAATGTAAAATGTAAAAAAAAGTTTAGAAATTATAATTTTTGGTTACAAACTAATTTTGGGTTATTTTTTTTTTTACTAAAAAGATAACAGAATAAATTTTGGCCAAGATTTATGAAGAAAGATTATTTATTTGCATAATTTTATAAGAAAAACACTTTTTTTCAAAATTTTTGTACTTAATTTACATAGCAAAAAAATAAAAATCCCAGTGGTGAATAAATACCACCAAAATAAAACTTTCTGCCTCAAAAAATGCTAAAAAATTCATATGGGTACAGTGTTGCATGACCGCGCAATTGTCATTCAAAGTGTGATAGCGCTGAAAGCTGAAAATTGGCCTGGACAGGAAGGGGGTGAAAGTGTCTGGACTTGAAATGGTTAATTTAGCAGGTATGCTGCAACTCCCATATACCCAAAACGTTGAGTGTGCGCTTCTTCTGTTGCATCAGGAAGAAAAGTCGTCGCTCCCGGGCTGCAGATGCTGATGGAGTGTTGGAGATGTTCCATTGTCCCTATGAGGGCTGTGCCCAGGTGTACACAGCTCTTGCCAGCTTTCAGGTATGACTGTAGTAAGCTGCCTATACACCTTTCCTATGTTTATACGCTGCTCTTCCCCTTGTGTATGTTTTTTTCTGATCTCCCTGTATCACTTGTTCAGCTTCATATGGTATGCATGGCTGTGTTTTGGCAGCGGTAAGGGGGACCCCCAAGATCCAGTGCTTTGCAGCAGGGGCAGGGGTGGACTGAGCATTTGGAAACTCGGGCACTGCCCGAGGGCCAGGGGTCAGTAGGGGGCCCCATGAGATGCCCCTGGTACCTTTTCATAGGCTTCTGAGTTTGGGCAAGTACACAGGGGCCCCATGATCCCCTATTGCCCGGGGGCCCCATGATTTGTCAGTCCGCCCCTGCTTTGCAGCTATTCACATAATGCCCAGTATCTTTATGAATGAATACAAGGCTTCTCCTGATTGTCCTAGATAGAGAGGCGAGAGGATGATGTCCAAATCTCCACTTTTTAAACCCGACACAAATAAAGCAGTTTGCTCAAAAAGGGTAGGCCAGACTACCTGTTGAATAACAGATAAGGACAGCCCCTCTGAAACTCGATAAAATATAAATAAGGAATATGTTTAAGGAGAGCTGCTTTCAACCCAAACAGGGCAACCAACAAAAGCAATAAATATCAAGACAGCGCTCTACCAAAAAATATCTCTTATAATACAAAAGTGCTGAAAAACAACTATAAAAAAGTGTGGGAAAGTGTCCAAAACTACAATGTGTGGAAAAACTATTCAAAAATTTGACATATTACTAATCAATATATCTTAAAGTGATTAACAAAAAAAAAATCAAAAAAGTATTTAAAATTATTCATTACAAAGGTGTAAGCAAGTGTTCAGAAGAAAAAGGTAAAAAATCAATACATTTATGAAACTATTTGTGGACCAGTCGGTAGACCGTTGGAAAGAAATACGTTAAACCGAACCAGGGCAAACAGCCAAGGAAATATATAGCACTCTACCAAAAAAAATATATCTCTAATAATGTAAAAAACCTGTAATAAAAAAGTGTGGGAAAGTGTCCAAAACTAAAATGTGTGGACAACTGTTCAAAAACATACTAAAAAAAAAAACAATTCGTGAACCAATCGGTAGACCGTTGGAAAGAAATATGTTAAACCCAACCAGGGCAAACAACCAAGGAAATATATAGCACTCTACCAAACAAAAATATATCTCTAATAATGTAAAAAAAACTTATAAAAAAAAAGTGTTCAAAACTAAAATGTGTGGAAAACTGTTTCAAAACATAACATATTAATATCTTAAAGTAAATAAAAGCAATAAATGTATGAAACAATTTGTGAACCAATCGGTAGGCCGTTGGAAAGAAATACGTTAAACCCAACCAGGACAAACAACCAGGAAATATATAGCACTCTACCAAACAAAAATCTCTAATAATGTAAAAAACTTGTAATAAAAAAAGTGTGGGAAACTGTCCAAAACTAAAATGTGTGGAAAACTGTTCAAAAACATAACATGCTAATATCTTAAAATAATTAACATCAAACCATAAACGAAGGTGGCAAAAAATATTGTGAGAAAGTGTCCAAAAGAAAAACGTCAACAAAAGTCAATAAATTGGTGTGACCGTAGGTGAAACAATCAGTGAAACAATGATGAGGTGCTCCAATCTTCAAAATTCTTTATCTTGTATGATGTTAAACCAAGTGAAAATCCACCACCAAATAGATTGACTTTTTTTTTACTTTTTTCTTTTGGACACGAACCAAAAACACAAAGTTTTGTGTTTAATCCCTTAACGCCGGCACCTCCCGGACCTTTAAGAGTTTCAGAAGCTGGGAGGCGGGACAGGTGGGGTTTAGGGATCATGTGACATGATCTCTGTGACCGCCGTGATGAGCATCGTCACGGCTGTCACATGATGCGTTCTCAGCACATACATTTTTTTGTAATAGAACGAAAATGTGAGGCCGCTCAGCGTCTAGGCCCAGACGCCGGGAGGCCGCACGTTTGTGTGCAGCCGGCGTGAAGAGGTTTAAAAAAAAAGTCCATGACCCTTTCCAAAAAAAAATGCACCGGTGAAAACATGGAAATGTGAATCTGTCCCATAGGAAACCATGTTAAATGGACTGCTGTGTGTTTCTGGAAAATGCAGCGGAAAGTGCTTCGGCGTGAACCTAGACTTGTTGTCAAAGCTTAATTGAACAAACTGAAGTTATGCAGGCTGTACATGGTTTGAAACCCGAATGATTTTTTGTCCAAAAGTCGGAAACGTTGTTCACTCGGTAATCCGATGGCGCCATCATTGATTTCGAAAATCGGCCGACTGAGTCATAAAGTTCACCCCATATAACAGGCGAAACTTCTGTTCCTTCCAGGTCACGGCTCATGCGCATATTTTTTTCAGAAAAACTACCGTATGATTTGACCATCATTGAGTCGGTCGTTTTTCACGAATTTTCCAACATCCCCGATCACCGAAAAGGGGAGGAACCACGAAAATCGGCCGGTGCAGAGTGAAAATCAGCCGGATGAAAAATCGGTTGATTTTCGACCCATGTATGGCCGGCCTTAGATTGCAGGATGTTTAAAAAAAATGTATGTGCTCAACATAATAAATAATTAACTACTTAATAAACTGATAATAAATATTCTAAATAAATATAATAACTATATCCTCCAAAATAAAATCAACAATTCATGGAGTGAAAATAAGAAAAATGTTAAAAATAAAACTAAATCAAAATTAAAAAAAAAATAAAATTATATTTATAAATGTTCCAAAGTCATTACACCGTGTTCCAAATTATTATGCAAATGATATTTTCTCATTTCCCTAAATAATTGATGTAAATAACAGTCAGCATAATTCTCATGTTATCAACTATTAAGAGTACAATTCACATTTTATTGAACAAACCTCCTAATGATAAGAGGATTTTTGTTAAACATAAAACACTTCCAATGCACTGCTCCAAATTATTATGCTCAGTAAGTTTCAAAACACTTTATAGGTTGTAAAGAACTGAAAATTGTCATTTGTTGTGTTTGCAGCATATTTACTGAAATCAAAAGCTATTTCAATCAAACTTTTAACAACATTTTAACTGTTTAAACATTTTAACAGGTCACGTTACATTTTAACATAGGACCCCTTATTTGATAGCAGCTTCACAAGTCTTGCATCCATTGAACCTGTGAGTTTTTGGACAGTTTCTGCTTGAATTTGTTTGCAAGATGTCAGAATAGCCTCCCAGAGCTGCTGTTTGTATCTAAACTGCCTCCCACCCTCATAGATCTTTTGCTTGAGGATGCTCCAAAGGTTCTCAGTAGGATCGAGGTCAGGGGAGGATGGAGGCCACACCATGACTTTCTCTCCTTTTATCCCCATAGCAGCCATTGATGCAGAGGTATTCTTTGCAGCATGAGATGCTGCATTGTCATGCATGAAGATGATTTTATTACGGAAAGCATAGTTCTTCCTTCTGTACCAGGGAAGAAAGTGGTCAGTCATAAACTCCACATACTTTGCAGAGGTCATCTTTACACCTTCGGGGACCCTAAAGGGGCCGGCCAGCTCTGTTCCCATGATTTCGGCCCAAAACATGACTCCACCACCGCCTTGCTGATGTCGCAGCCTTGTTGGAACAGGGTGGCCGTCCACCAACCATCCACTACTTCATCCATCTGGACCATCCAGGGTTGCACGGCACTCATCAGTGAACAGGACTGTTTGAAAATTAGTCTTCATGTATTTTTCTGCCCAATGCAGCCGTTTCTGCTTGTGAGCATTGGTTAGTGGTGGCCGAATAGAAGGTTTATGCACAGTTTGCAAGACTCTGGAGGACTCTACACCTTGATGTCCGTGGGACTCCAGAGGCACCAGCAGCTTCAAATATCTGTTTGCTGCTATGTAATGGTATTTTAGCAGCTGCTCTCTTGATCCGATGCATGGATCTGGCAGAAACCTTCCTCAATGTGCCTTTATCTGCACGAACCCATCTGTGCTCTGAATCAGCCACAAATCTCTTAATAGTGCGATGATCACGCTTAAGTTTTCGTGAAATATCTAATGTTTTCATACCTCGTCCAAGGCATTGAACTATTTCACTCTTTTCGGCAGCAGAGAGATCCTTTTTCTCCCCCATATTGCTTGAAAATGGTTCTCTGATTAATAATGTGGAACGCCCTCCTTTAGTAGTTTTTCCTTAAATTGGGCTCACCGGCCAATCTAATTATCACAGGTGTCCGAGATTGTTTTCAGTGATCAAAAGAGCCCTGACACACAATGCCATCCATGAGTTACACTGAACAACAAAATATTTCATCTTTGTGACACTTAAATAGAATTTGCATAATAATTTGGAACAGGGTTTACATGTAATCCAGGTAATTACATGTAATACACCTCAGCAAGCCTTAATATCAATATGCGCTTCCCTCAATATAATCATTATCAATTATTATAACATCTATTCACATTATCACTAAATAATAGTCATAGTGGCTCGCAAGTATTTTATTTAATAAAATGTATGAATTTGTATCCGTCTTTTGGAACACTTGGCTTTGTATTTATGTTCAGTTCTAACATGAACCCATGACTCACCTTACAGAATCACATCAATTTGGTGCATAGAAAAGGCAGGACCAAGGTGTGCCCGGAGGCTGGCTGCGGGAAGAAATTCTACTTGTCCAACCACCTGCGTCGTCACATGATCATACACACAGGTATACATCAATGTGATCTATCTAGAGACGGCTGGGAACACCTTCACTCTGTATGGGTAACGTCTGCCTGTTTGTTATTAGGGATCCGCGAGTTCATCTGTGAGACGTGTGGCAAATCTTTTAAAAGGAAAAGTCACCTGGAGGTGCACAGAAGAACCCACACAGGGGAGACCCCTCTACAGTAAGTGACTGGCAGCTATGAGCTTGCACTGTGCTAGTGGCATCCAATGTTCATGGTAAGGACAGAGTTAAGGCTGAACTCAAGGAATTCAGCCATTTTCTGTGCTGGCTTACTATGGGTTACGTCTGATTAGGTGCATCACAGCTTATGTCTGCTTAGCACTTATTTACAACTGACTGTTTCACTGAGCCCCGGGAGTACAGCTATCACTATACTCCCAACACTCTGAAAGGAGAGATGCTGTCTTCTCACATAGGAGTTAGGGATGCACCGAAATTTCGGTGGCAGAAACGTTTCGGCCGAAAACGCCCCTTTCGGCCGTCAGCCAGTATGGAAAAAAACACCGATACAGGTGCCAAAAAAAACCCCGCCCCTCGCCGCCGCCTGGAACCGGAACCTGCCACTGCCACCACCGGCCGTCGCTCAGTAGTTCTCATCCTTACCTGAGAAACCATCAAACTATCTTCGGCGCTGGGCATAGAGATGGGTGAAGGAAAGATGGCCTCCACTCATCTTTATGCCCTTGGAGGACCGGAGCGATGTCACATCTGGTTCCGGACATTTTTTTCCCCCTTTAAAGCACTAGATCAATGCTCTTTTTTGATCCAATGCTTTACATTGCAGAGGAGAGATGTGGGGTCTTATTGACCCCATATCTGTCCATAAAGAGGACCTGTCACTAATTATTTCTATCACAGGGGATTCATGCATTTCTTGTGATGAGAATAACAGTGATTACAATTTTTTTTAAAGGGACAGTGCAAAACAAAAAAAAAAAACAAAAAAAACCCATTAAATAAATAATAATAAAAAAAGTTTAAAGTGCCCCCATCCCCCCGTGGTCACACGAAGTGGTGAACGCATACGTAGGCCATGCCCACATATGGAAATGTTGTTCAAACCCCACACGTGAGGTATCGCCATGAATGTCAGAGCAAGAGCAATAATTCTCGCACTAGACCTCCTCTGTATCTTTACACTGCTAACCTGTAGACATTTTTAAAGCATCACCCATGGAGGTTTTTAAGTACAGCAGTTTCACGCCATTCCACAAGCGTGCGTAATTTTAAAGCATGACATGTTGGGTATCTATTTACTCGCCGTAACATCCTCTTTCATATTTTACAAAAAAATTGGGGTATATATTGTTTTTTTTTGTGTTTTTTTTTTTTTTTTTTTTCAATCAAAGTATAAGTGCATTTTGAATTTTTGTTTTCGGCACCAGAATTTTCATTTCGGTGTACCACTAATAGGAGTAGCTCTGCCATCCCCTGCCCTCTGCTGTCCATTCACAGAAGGCTTTGTATTTTGTAAAAGGGTTCAGCTAATGCAAAACACTCAGTGATTAGGCATAAGGAGGAGGGGGATGGGCAGAATGGCCATATGGGACTTTGAAGCTGCTGGAGCAGAGACTAGGTCTAGTGTTAGAGCACTGTAAGTATAGCGATGGCTATGCTTCCAGCACTCAATAAAAAGGTCTAGTGTTAGAGCTCTGTAAGTATAGTGATAGCTGTGCTTCCAGCGCTCAATAAAAAGGTCTAGTGTTAGAGCACTGTAAGTATAGTGATAGCTGTGCTTCCGGCGTTTAATAAAAAGGTCTAGTGTTAGAGCACTGTAAGTATAGTGTTAGCTGTGCTTCCGGCGCTCAATAAAAAGGTCTAGTGTTAGAGCACTGTAAGTATAGTGATAGCTGTGCTTCCGGCGTTTAATAAAAAGGTCTAGTGTTAGAGCACTGTAAGTATAGTGATAGCTGTGCTTCCGGCGTTTAATAAAAAGGTCTAGTGTTAGAGCTCTGTAAGTATAGTGTTAGCTATGCTTCCGGCGCTCAATAAAAAGGTCTAGTGTTAGAGCACTGTAAGTATAGTGATAGCTGTGCTTCCGGCGCTCAATAAAAAGGTCTAGTGTTAGAGCACTGTAAGTATAGTGTTAGCTATGCTTCCGGCGCTCAATAAAAAGGTCTAGTATTAGAGCACTGTAAGTATAGTGTTAGCTATGCTTCCGGCGCTCAATAAAAAGGTCTAGTATTAGAGCACTGTAAGTATAGTGTTAGCTATGCTTCCGGCGCTCAATAAAAAGGTCTAGTGTTAGAGCACTGTAAGTATAGTGTTAGCTATGCTTCCGGCGCTCAATAAAAAGGTCTAGTATTAGAGCACTGTAAGTATAGTGTTAGCTATGCTTCCGGCGCTCAATAAAAAGGTCTAGTGTTAGAGCACTGTAAGTATAGCGATAGCTATGCTTCCGGCGCTCAGTAAAAATGTAAAATTTAAATTAAGGGGTTAAGTCCATGAAGTGACGATACTGTCAGTAGATTGCTGGGGTATTCCTGTGTTGATTTGTGTTTTATTTTTCTTGGAGCTTCTTGTTACACTATTAGTACAGCTTTTCAGAGCTGTCAGTTACGGGGCATATACTCCTCTAACAATGGCCCACCAACTGTGTGTGTGCTGGGGGGGGTCAGTTGAATACTTCCTTTTTAATGCACATCCTCCATCTTACTTTTCTGGTCCATTGCAATGCATTATCGCCTGCGGTAATTTGTGCTGCAATAAGAGAGGATCTAATAGTCATTTTGAATTGACTGCCAACACATGAGAACCGACCAAAAAATGTACATGACTCTGAACACCCCACAACTCACTTCAAGAGAAATGAACGGCTGTGCAACACACCACATTAACTGGTATACATAAAAGCATGTGGCAGGAACACTCGTCACCACAATGCATAGATCTGAAGGAGGTCTTAGAGATCACTTCAGCTGCACTGCACAGTTTAAGTCCTCAAGCACGCTTGACGTTTTGATAACGCTGGTGATGTTAGCTGTGTAAAGTTATGTTAAAAACGTGCGTTTTTCAGCTTTTTTTTAGCGTTTTTGCATTAGCGCTTAGCGGCGTTTTCCCACGTTTTGCTGTGTTTGCGTTATTTAGGCTTTTTTTTTATATAAAAAAAGTCCAAAAACACACCGGTTTGCGAGGTTTTGCCGCAGTTTTCAGCGTTAGAGCGTTTTTACAGCTAAAAATCTCCTCTAGAAACCCACTAGTCCTGGGTTTTTTTTCCAGCCAAAAAACATTGATTCCAGTCTATGTGTTTATGGACACATAGGATAACTGGGGAGTTTACTGGCTGTAGAAAAAAAACGTCAAAAGCCAAAAACAGCCGCTGTAAAAATGTCCCGTGTGCATGAGGACTAAATGTTGAAAATCCAGAACTTTGAGTTAGAACTCCCCTATACTCCCTAGGGGAGTATAGCTGCTGGCATGGCCCTTATATTCTTGGTCAAATCACAAGCTGAATTTTGTATTTAGCTTGTCATGTCCAATTTTAAAGGATCTATCCAACACTCCTAAATATAAACAAGTGCAGCGCTAAAAGTTAATAGTAGTAATAAATAATAGGTGCAAAGTCCATATGTAATAAATGATTAAGACTAAATAAAATTAATAGTTCATATAGGTGACTGATTCGTGCTCTTATAATCCTGAATGCTCTAGTCAGTGCTTGTGCTTTCATATGCAGATAGAATGCACACTCACCAGACGCGCCGTTTTATATATATATATATATATATATATATATATATATATATATATATATATATATATATATAATATCCAAAACTCCTATGTCAGTTCTTGGTAGATACTAGTGAGTTGTATCAACTAACAATGTAGAGCTTTCCTGTTCATCAGTGCTGAAATCTCTGTGCTACAGTATCAGGTCTACATAACACTGTGGCTATTTTGAATGGATGGTCATCTGTTAAATTTTGAAGTGGAAATCAAATTAGCTAAATAAAGGATTGAAATGTGAATGTTTTCATGACAAAGGATCTCAAAGTAGGGAGGAAAAAAGTATCTCTAGGGAGGAAAAAAGTATCTCAAAGTAGGGAGGAAAAAAGCATCTCAAAGTGGGGAGGAAAAAAAGTATCTCAAAGCAGGGAGGAAAAAAGTATCTCAAAGTGGGGAGGAAAAAAGTATCTCTAGGGAGGACAAAAGCATCTCAAAGTAGGGAGGAAAAATTATCTCAAAGTAGGGAGGAAAAAAGTATCTCTAGGGAGGAAAAAAGCATCTCAAAGTAGGGAGGAAAAAAGTATCTCAAAGTAAGGAGGAAAAAAGCATCTCTAGGGAGGAAAAATTTTTAATGGATGGTCATCTGTTAAATTTTGAAGTTGAAATCAAATTAGCTAAATAAAGGATTGAAATGTGAACGTTTTCATGACAAAGGATCTCCAAGTAGGGAGGAAAAAAGCATCTCAAAGTAGGGAGGAAAAAAGCATCTCAAAGTAGGGAGGAAAAAAGCATCTCAAAGTAGGGAGGAAAAAAGCATCTCTAGGGAGGAAAAAGCATCTCAAAGTAGGGAGGAAAAAAGCATCTCCAAGTAGGGAGGAAAAAAGCATCTCCAAGTAGGGAGGAAAAAAGCATCTCCAAGTAGGGAGGAAAAAAGCATCTCAAAGTAGGGAGGAAAAAAGCATCTCCAAGTAGGGAGGAAAAAAGCATCTCCAAGTAGGGAGGAAAAAAGCATCTCCAAGTAGGGAGGGAAAAAAGCATCTCCAAGTAGGGAGGAAAAAAGCATCTCCAAGTAGGGAGGGAAAAAGTATCTCCAAGTAGGGAGGGAAAAAGTTTCTCCAAGTAGGGAGGGAAAAAGTTTCTCCAAGTAGGGAGGGAAAAAGTTTCTCCAAGTAGGGAGGGAAAAAGTTTCTCCAAGTAGGGAGGGAAAAAGTTTCTCCAAGTAGGGAGGGAAAAAGTTTCTCCAAGTAGGGAGGGAAAAAGTTTCTCCAAGTAGGGAGGGAAAAAGTTTCTCCAAGTAGGGAGGGAAAAAGTATCTCAAAATAGGGAGGAAATAAGTAATCTGCATCACTTTGCAACTAAGGGGAATTTTCTTTTTTTTTTTTTTAATTATACTTACTTAGGGGGATTCACCATTGATCCGATGCTGCATATGCCCCTGTTGTTTCTAAGGGTGAGAACTGAGCGATCAGACACTGTTGATCCCTCAGTTCTCCCTACCGCTCTGGGGGCAGAGATCCGGGTCTGTCTGTCTCCAGCTCTCTGCTCTGAACCCCCCAGCAGAGTGCTGGGCTGTGGTGGGGGCGGGAACGGCTGGCTCAGCCTCTCACACGATCACTGAGAGGCTGAGCCAGGTGTCGGACTCTGGGGGGGGTCCCAACTTTAAAGTCGTGATCTTTCCCCAGCCTGGACCTGGTGAGTGATGTCAGCCGACAGTGACTTTAGTCCGCTGTCAGCTGAAAACAGGTCACAGGAGTGCCGAACAAACTGCACTCCTGTGATCCACAGAAGAACAGCCAAATGTGCTTTGGCTGTACTTGTCCTTTAATGCAGACCTCCCCAGTAGCATACACTGTCCTTTCCTTTGCTCCCCTGCCACTCCACTCCAACCACTGGAATGAGTCACATGTCCCTCCATACCTGAAAGTACTGAGTGTTCCTTTCAATTCTCAGTGCTGAACGAAGTAAGGAAAGATAAATGTACTCTGCTGGGAAAGGGCGGATTGAAGTAAACCTGTAACTCTGTCTTGAACAGGCAATTATAGGTATGCTTTCAGCTGTCTAGAGCAGTGTTTCTCAACCTTTTTTCAGTCAAGGCACCCTTTAAAATTATGGACAGTCTTGAGGTACCCCATTCTAAAACGGGGTGCCTCTAGACTGTCCATAATTTTAAAAGGACACCCCATTCTAAAATGTGAAAAACTAATAGTTCTGTATAATGCAGCAACATCCACACATGTAGGACACTCAATGCTAGAGGTGATTTATTCTTTCAAAGCAAATACACTTTTGCACACTGGTACTGACCAGAGGCGGACTGACCATTTGGAAACTCGGGCACTGCCCGAGGGCCTGGGGTCAGTAGGGGGCCCCATGAGATGCCCCTGGTACCTTTTTCATAGGCTTTTTTTGAGTTTGGGCAAGGACACAGGGGCCCCATGATCCCCCTATTGCCCAGGGGCCCCATGAGTTGTCAGTCCACCCCTGGTACTGACTAGTATTCTTGTGTTTCTCTTCTCCCTGAGTTTTGAAGGGGTCAAACTAGGATGCTGTGCAGGCAGCTGACATCCTCCTTATCAACTGATGATGTCATTGGTTGTCAGGATGCTGGCGGCTAGAAGGTCATAATGGTGCACAATGAAAACCTGTGACTTTGCGTAACTAAAAGGCAGACTTGTTCCACCCACTGGCTTTTATACAAGTTTTGGGCAATTTTTAGACAGTTTGCCAAGGCAGCCCTGAAGAAACCTCAAAGCACCCCGGGGGTGGGCCTGGGCACCCTGGTTGGGAAAGGCTGGTCTAGGATACTGAATTATATTTGGAAAAGTGGGAAGAGGTTTTGCCGGACAGCATATCTTTAGGAGCAGCTGAAGGCTATCCTATGTTACCACCAGCAAACTTACAATGCATGGTGAACCTAAGCTAGAAGTGGTGAAAGAACATTCTGTTGTCCAAATTTAGATATTTTTTTATGTCATCAAAGGTTAAAGAAAACCCTCTGGATCTTTTTTGCCTTAATCCTCTAATTAAAGCCCACCTCTGGGAAAATTTTAAATGATCCCTTACAGTGGGGCTGCACTCGCATTGCAAGGGTTAGGTGTCATCACATCCAGTGCAGAGCTATGGACCCTGCTTTGGTCTTGATGACGTCATTACCCTAGACCGCTAGACTGTGGAGGAGAAAAGGCTGCGAAGAGGAGCAGAGGATCAGGTAAGAAAATCTTTTTATTTTTGTTGCCCTAGACCAATACAAACAATTAGTCCTTGTAGTGCAGGCACTGCCCCACTGCATGGGATGATATTTCAGTTGCCCAGAGTTGGGCTTTGATCAAGATCAATGGTTAGGCTGGTTTAACACTTTCTAGGCTGTCAATTGCAATCAATAATAGGGTCACTGTGGAGCTACAAGGCCCCATAAGAGCAAGAGACTGGGACCTTTATCAGATAATTCAACCTTCAAAAGATTTATATGATTTCTGCGATTCACCATCCAGTTGTGGTAACAACCATAGGGGCCCCCTGGAGTTTGCATGTTCTCCCTGTGCCTGCATGGGTTTCCTCCGGGTACTCCAGTTTCCTCACATACGCCAAAGACACGCTGGTAGGTTAATTGTCCCTAGTATGTGTATGTATGAATGTGAGTTAGGGACCTTAGATTGTACACCCTACAATACATCCTAGATTGTAAGCTCGAAAGAGCAGGGCCCTCGATCCCCTCATGTTTTGCATTGTATTGGTATTGTTCTGTCACATGTTCTGTCCCCCTTTGTAATGTACAGCGCTGAGCGAACTGTTGGTGCTTTATAAATCCTGTATAATAATAATAATAATAATACACCCCTTGAGGGTTAGGGACTGATGTGAATGTACAATATTTATATATATGTAAAGCGCTGCGTAAATTAACAGCACTATACAAGTACCTGTAATAAATAAAATAAATAATATTTTTCATACATCTGTAGGTTGCTATGGAGGGGTGTTTGATGCAAGATATGAATATGGTCCTTCTAACCATGCATTAATAGCATGTCTTCCTACAGGTGTGAGGTTTGCGGGTACCAGTGCCGGCAGCGTGCCTCTCTGAACTGGCATATGAAGAAGCACGGCTCGGAGATCCAGTACAGCTTCTCCTGCGAGCATTGCGGCAAGCTTTTTGAGAAACGTGAGAGCGTCAAATTTCACAAGCTAAAGAGCCATCCCGAAGGAGAGGTCACGTGACATGGCACAAGGGGGGGTCAGCTGACTGATGCACATTTATGTCACACTGGGGAGGAGAGAGTAGAGGGTACGTTGTCAATGTTCTCCACGCTGGTAGGACATGGTATGGAGGGATTGTCCATTGGTGACTGCCAGGAGACACGGCAACCAGAAGAGACTCTTCTGCCACAAAGAAACTAATCACTCTCTAGAGAGGAAGTATACATACAAAGGCCCTGTTCACATTGCTGAATTTAAAGCGGAGTTCCCTTTTTTTTCATGATCCTAGCCACACAATGCCCATCCTCAGAACAGTCTGTTTTGGGATATTTTTATTTATTTTTTTCTAAATACCTTTTTTTGCTATCAGTATCCTGCCCTTCCGGCCTGGCCGCCTAGGTGATTTGGTCATTAGGTGATTCCCTAGGACTCTTGGGATGTCCGCATCGGTTTTTCCAGGTGTCTTTGGGAGGCCTAATGGTGAAGTCTCGCGGTATTTCTTCTTCCGCCATTGTTATGGCAAACTACAAACAACACAGAGTGCCGCGCTGTGTTCTTACAGCGCAAGTGCGAGACTGGGAGGTGCATGCTGGGTAACCATTTGCATTGAATCCAAGAAGAAAGTAGGAACAGCTGAGGAAAGTCACATTCACAAGCAAACGACATACACGTAGAACACTATCCTAATTATATACGGCAAGTGAAGAGAATCACGGGGCTGCTTTTTGTAGAAAAGTGCCAAGGAGACTTGAACTCCGCTTTACGGTATGTTGTTGTGGCATTTCAGGTATTTTTTTACAGCCTTACCATGGAACTCTTGTGTGTGGAGGTGCATTTTTATGGAAATTGCCTGCAAGTGGGACTTTTCCCTACTTCCCACACCCCCTACAGCCCTAAAACAGGGCAAATGTGAACAGGGCCTTATTGGTATCACTACATAGAAATTGCAACTGCAGTGCTAAGCTTTATTATATAAAAGCCTTTATAAAGGAACTTGTCTGGACTATTCCATTCCTTGCAGGCACATTCCAAAGTATATTCCCCTAAAGTTGGCCATAGATGGATCGAATCTTGGGCGGTTCAGCCGAGATTTGATCCATCTATGGGCAGGCTGGTTGTACCAAAGTTGATTCATCAAATTGACTTCAGTACAACCAGCCTGTCGCAGTTTTTCGCATGTGATCACTACTGGTGGCTATAGCCCCCAGCAGTACATATAGCCCCCTTTTACATTGTGTTCTGCCGACAGGGAAAGCTCCTTGCCCGCAGAAGACAATAGCACTGCGAGGGACTGATTGTGTTGATGGTGGAATCAAGCTATTTTTTTTTCTTCCTTGCAACCGTTATTGTAGGAAAGAAAATCACATCATCTATGGCTTGCTTAGGGTTCAAATTTCCTAGGACACTATATGGCCAAATGTTGACACCTCTCATTATGGTTGAGTTGAGGTGTTCTCTGAAGAGTACTACATTTTAGACATTTGTGCGCTTTTTACCCTGTAGGAAGTGTGGGGAGGACCCTTTTCTATCCCAGCATGATTGTGCACAAAGCCAGCTCCATAAAGCTCCATTGGCTTTTACAGTGAGCCGCTATTTAACCCCTTTCTTCTGAGAACTGATGTGCTCCACAAAGACATGGTTTAGTGTGGAGGAACTTGAGTATCCTGCACAGACCTCTTACCTCAACCCCATTTGAACAGCTTTGGGATGAATGGAAACACTGATTGTAAGTCAGGTCTTCTCGTCCAACATCAGTGCCTGACCTTACAAATGTTCTTCTGGCACTCCAAAATCTGGTTGGAAGCTTCCAAGGAATGTGGAGCTACAAAAGGGGTGCCAGCTCCGTATTAATACACATGATTTTGGAATAGGGTGACCAAGAACCTCATATAGGCAGGGGCGGACTGACCATTTGGAAACTTGGGCACTGCTCGAGGGCCGGGGTCAGTAGGGGGCCCCATGAGATGCCCCTGGTACCTTTTTTCATAGGCTTTTTGAGTTTGGGCAAGGACACAGGGGCCCCATGATCTCTTATTGCCCGGGGGCCCCGTGAGTTGTCAGTCCACCCCTGCATATAGGTGTCGTGGTAAGGTCTCCACAATCTTTTGGCCAAATAGTGTCTTAGTGATGCTGTACATAACGAACCATAGGTGCTGCTCCAAGGGCTGTACTATCTGAGGAGTCCAGCCATTGGTGCACCAACCTCACACAGGATTTGTCCCATATCCAGAAACAGAACCTAGAGAAAAGGATTGGCTATATGACCTTTAAATACCATAAACCCTTGTTGTTTGGTATTATCTCACCAGATGGTTTGCTCTTCTAATACATTTCTTTCTAGTATGGGACCTGAGCTCCACCTCTACGATAAAGGCTATACAAGTGAGAAATGCATCAGCATGGGATTGCTGGAGGTCATTGAAACTGATGGAACAATAAAGTTTAATTAAATGGTATTTAATGGCCATGCGACCAATCCTTTCCTCTGACTTCAGTGATGTTGTACATAATGTACATGTGGTGAGTGCAGCCCCGTCCAAGAATATGCACACGTCTACACAGATGGAGGTCAGTATGCACACCACCATGCATGTAACATATGCTCATGGAGTAGATAATCCATCAATGTCTCATGTTCCTGACGTGTTCGGAAGCTCCAGTATCAGCCTCCCCTAAATGTGATGTTGAAGTGTTCCTTTAACCAATAAGAGGTAGCTGCTTTGTGACCTGAGCCAATGTCCAGCTTTTCTAAACTGTAGGAATTAGTAAACCCTGGTGCCTAGGGAATGGATAGACTGCTTCCGACTCAGATATATTGTCTGAAATATTGGCCAAATAACAAAATATTGTTTGTTTGAGCTATGGGTGCTTTTTACTTCAGTTTTTTTTATCCTGTCTTTATTTTTTCTTTTATTAAGAACTGTCTCCTTTCTGTCTTGCCCTCCGTGGGGGAAAGTATTTGCCTCACTTATGAGTGCTAGTCCACTACAATGTTTATATTAAAATATATTTAATTTCTACAACATTGTTTCTGATTATTTGATGGGAAATGAAGGCACATGAGGTTAAAATATATTCAGAGGTGCCTGTGCTGTGTAAATTGTATTGGTGCTGGTATTGCACAGAATAGTTTGATACCTGGGAGCATCTGTGCAATGTATAGTGTAATATAGGAGGCGTGGCTTAGAGTAGCCTGATACCTGGGAGTACCTGTGCCATGTGTAGTGTAATAGAAGGGGTGTGGCTTAGAGTAGCCTGATACCTGGGAGTACCTGTGCCATGTGTAGTGTAATATAGGAGGCGTGGCTTAGAGTAGCCTGATACCTGGGAGCATCTGTGCCATGTATAGTGTAATTTAGGAGACGTGGCTTAGAGTAGCCTGATACCTGGGAGTACCTGTGCCATGTATAGTGTAATAGAAGGGGTGTGGCTTAGAGTAGCCTGATACCTGAAAGTACCTGTGCCATGTATCCTGTATCAGAAGGGGTGTGGCTTAGAGTAGCCTGATACCTGGGAGTACCTGTGCCATGTATAGTGTAACAGAAGGGGTGTGGCTTAGAGTAGCCTGATACATGGGAGTACCTGTGCCATGTATACTGTAACAGAAGGGGTGTGGCTTAGAGTAGCCTGATACCTGGGAGTACCTGTGCCATGTATAGTGACATATAGGAGGCGTGGCTTAGAGTAGCCTGATACCTGGGAGTACCTGTGTCATGTATAGTGTAACAGAAGGGGCGTGGCTTAGAGTAGCCTGATACATGGGACTACCTGTACCATTTAAAGCAGTGGTGCTCAACATTACACTCACAACAAATGTAAAAGTATGGAAATGCAAACTGTGTGTGTCACTGGGGGAGGATGGGAGTTCTAGAGAGGGTTAGTCTAGTTACAATATGCCTGACGATACCTGGACACGCTTCACTGGGCTTTCTTGTGACATTGGTGCAGTAAAGGCTTCTTTCTAGCAATTTGACAATGCAGCTCACTTTTGTTCAAGTATCGTCATATTGTGCTTCTTAAAAAACCATAAAGTATTTTTTCCAGAGCAGCCTGTATTTCTCGTGAGGTTGCCTGTCGGTTTTTCTTTCTATCCCAAACAATTCTTCTGGCAGTTGTGGCTGCAATCTTTCTTAGTCTACCTGACCTTGGCTTGGTATCAAGAGATCCCCAGGCTTTCCACTTAATAAGTAGTTGAACAGTACTGACTGGCATAGCTTCCCAGCCCATGCTATGTTCTCTGGTGTCCACCCCCTCAACGCTACATTCTCTGGTATTCCCCACCCCAAGCCATGTTCTCTGGTGTCCATCCCCCCCAACGCTATGTTCTCTGGTGTCCACCCCTCCAATGCTATGTTCTCTGGTGTTTCCCCACCCCAAGCCATGTTCTCTGGTGTCCATCCCCCCCAACGCTATGTTCTCTGGTGTCCACCCCTCCAACGCTATGTTCTCTGGTGTCCACCCCTCCAACGCTATGTTCTCTGGTCTGGTGTTTCCCCACCCCAAGCCATGTTCTCTGGTGACTACCCCCCCCCCCCCCCCCAGCTCTATGTTCTCTGGTATTCCCCCACCCCAAGCCATGTTCTCTGGTGTCCACCCCTCCAACGCTATGTTCTCTGGTATTCCCCCACCCCAAGCCATGTTCTCTGGTGTCCATTCCCCCCAACGCTATGTTCTCTGGTATTCCCCCACCCCAAGCCATGTTCTCTGGTGTCCATCGCCCCCAATGTTATGTTCTCTGGTATTCCCTCACCCCAAGCCTTGTTCTCTGGTGTCCATCCCCCCCAACGCTATGTTCTCTGGTATTCCCCCACCCCAAGCCATGTTCTCTGGTGTCCATCCCCCCCAACGCTATGTTCTCTGGTATTCCCCCACCCCAAGCCTTGTTCTCTGGTGTCCATCCCCCCCCAACGCTATGTTCTCTGGTATTCCCCCACCCCAAGCCATGTTCTCTGGTGTCCACCCCTCCAACGCTATGTTCTCTGGTATTCCCCCACCCCAAGCCATGTTCTCTGGTGTCCATC